GATCCAGTTCATTTGTCTGCAATACAAGCAGTGGAAAACATACAAGGAAATTACCATAAATGTCTACTAGACCGTACGTACTTAGAGTTCAGCACTTATAACTGGTGGGTTTGAAATCATAGTAAAACAGATATAAAAGATACAATAAAGATTATACTCATACTACTTAATATAAGACCTAATTTATTAATTTAAATAGATTAAGAATGTTAGTTAAATTAATTAATATGACATATTTTTTTCTAAAACACTCTAAGTATGTTTTTTAATTCTCTCCCTCTCCTACTTGATTATTATTGGGGGAACATCAATAGGGTTAATTTAAGAAAAAATTGATAAACACATGAAATAGGTTTTATATATAAGACCAATATCAACTCTCTAATTAGCTTATATATTAAGGATTGGAGGCGTATATACTTACTATAAATATCTCTAATTCTTAATATAAGAGCTAGTTGGAGTGTTGCATTTTGTTCTAAATATAAAATCTTAATCCACTTTATCTTCCAAATTTATAATCTTTCTCAAAATATCCTTAATATTGATGGTAGGGGATTCTTACTAAGGGATGGGTCTTAATGACTACAAAAGATAGTTTAGAAAAGTTTTGTTACAAATAATCAACTTAGCTAATTTTTTTAATATCTCCAAATTATGTATTTAGCTGTTATATTAAGAATTGGGTATAGCATATGTATGGCTATTGTTACTTGTTACCTAATGTAACATCATTTTTATTTTTATTTTTTTGTAAATTTTATTCTTCCACTAATCTAATACAATAACAATAAGTATTATCTCACAATGTGAGATTGGCTATATGGATTGCACAATGTCATTGTGTTCTATCAACAATCAAGTCTTTGAATATATTCTTGACCTTAAAATCTTATTCAATGACCTCATTAAGTATTTTTCTTGGTCTTCCTTTGTCCCCTTTTACATGATTTCAAACTGTCTGATCTACCCTTCTCACCAACGTATTTGATAGCCTTCTTTGCACATGCCTAAATCACCTCAAACGATGCTCAACTATTTTCTTTTTAATAAGCATCACACCTACTCTTGCTCTGATATTTTTGCTTTGAATCTTATCTTTTCTGGTATTATCACATATTTATCTCAGCATCCTCATTTTTGCTACCTCAACTTTAAACACTTATTTTCTCTTCAGAGTTGAACATTTACTACCATACAACATAGTTGATCTTATAACAGTTAAAATTAATATTTAAATACAAAATTTTAATAATTAAAAATGACTATAACTTTCCCCTACAACCCCCCTAAAATTTTTTCTTGGCTCCGTCCTTGCCCATGGGTGCTTGAAGAGGTCCGTTAGAAGAAACTCGACATATTTGCCTGGCCTGACCCAGTGAAGTGGATTCTCTTCAAACTCCATTAGGCCTTCTTTGTTCTCTGAGCCCAAATGTGGAAGGATATTTTGTTGGCCCAATTATAATGTCGCTTCCAGTTGAACCCGAGGATTACGGGTTGAGAAAATCAATTAAAGCCCAGGATGTCGGACTCCCTAAATTCTCATCCATTTTATGGGATTTAAGAAGTGGATTGCCCTGCAATTTTAAGCGGTGAGTGGTCCGCCAGAGTCCCAGCAGGAGGGGTGTTTTAAGAAGGAAAAGAACGAAGAAGTAAGGAGCACGGGCATCATTTCACAACATTTCAAGATACGAAGCTGGCTCAACTGCATTGAGTTAATATTTTGAAATTCAATCTTCCTGATTTAATATTAGTGCATCCAGCATTCCCAAATATTATTTCAGATGCATCCATTATTCTAAAATATTTTGTGCTGCATCCAATACCTTGACGTTTTTTTTTAGATGTGTTCAGTATTATGAAATATTTTTTGATGCATCTAGTACTTTAAAGTATTTTTCTTAAACGCGTTTAACACTCAAAATTTTTTTTTTTGCATCTAGCACAAGGCCAAAAAAAAAATATTTCGAAGTGCTGGACATATCTACAAAATATTTTGGGGTGCTTAATGCACAACAAAATACTTTAAAGTGATAGATGTACTTGAGAAAATATGGCTAGATGCACTTTAACCCTTTAATATTTAACATTTTAAGGGTTTTCTTTGATTTTTTTTTTCCTTTTTAAAAAAATCTTTGTGATGTGTCCCACATATTGGTAGTAAGTGTTTTGCCTTTTTTCTTGTTTTAAAGAAGTATTTTAAGTATTCAGCTCCAAAAAAAAAAAAACAGAAGAAAGTATTTTAAGTGTGTGTGAATTGGTGAAAAATTTCAACAAGAGCACAAGGTTTGGAAGAACGGAAGGTGAGAGGCGCATATGGATTTCAACTACCTCCCCTTTTGGCCGCCGATCAAGTCCACTCATTCATTCACCTCCATTACGCTCCTACATCCATTGAACTTTACTCACTTCTCCTTCGTTATTATTATTATTAAAACGCGCCAATGGATTTTTTTGGGCCAAAATTATTATGTGGATTTCACCACACCTCCACACAGTAGCTCCTATGCATATTTGGACAAAACATACTATCCTGCCTGACAACGAGAGTGAAAAACGCGCCTATTCTATTTTACTCTTTGGTGCTCTTCTCATTTTCAGATCTTCTCTTTAAAACACACGTTTTCGCATACAAAACATCATGTTATAGTTTATTTTAAAGGAAACTTCATTCATTTGTTCTACGGATATAGAAGCATTTTTTCCCGTTTTAATTGAAAAATAAGGTCCTATTTTTTTGTGATGAAAGTGAGCGACGTTTTAAAAATGCATCAGCCAGTTTCTTTCTTCCATCCCTTTATGTGTGTTCTTCCTATACTTGCTTTAATTCTTATTATAAAATCCCAAATTACTGCTCAGTGATAAAGAAATTAGAGATGTAGAGACAATTAGGAGGTTTATCTAGAAGTAACTACATTGAGTGAAGACGGGTTGTATGATTCACTTATTAAAATAAAAAAGCGGTCAAGTCATTAATTTTATCCCAAAATTAAAAAAGTTCACATTTTATTATATTTAATATTATGAATCATATTCAGAAAATTATTGAAATTGCAATCAATGAAATTGTAATAGGAATAATTTTGAAAAGTTTAATTTAATTCCCCACTTGATAAATTATAACAAAAGCAAGTTATTTTTTAGAAGTTGTCTTATAATAAGGACAATAAAAGAGCATATCAAAAAATAAATGTAACCACCTTTCTAAACCAAAATACTACCTCCGGTCCTAATTATAAGAGCCAGTTGATTAATTTGAGAAGATTAAGGAAGTAAGTTGATTAGTTATTTGTCCTAAATAGGTGTTGTCTTTCCTAAAATATCCTTACTAATCAAGTGTATTGACTAGAACTATCATTGTTAGAAGGGCCACTTTGGAAAAAAATGTATAAATATAAGAGACAAAGTGGATTGGGTTCTTATGTTTAGGAGCAAACTAAAAGTCAAACAGGATCTTATATTAAGGACAGGAACTAGTAAAACATAAGAAAGAATTAGCGTAAGGTTTCAATAAAAAAAAAAAACATACTCGTACTTTTTTATCCTGGAATGATTTTTCCTAAACAGAGGAACTCAAAACCCACGATTACGAAGAGGGCCAAGTCATTGTCTGGATGCTAAGGTAGGGGATTTTGTGAGGGGGGAAAATGTCATAAAATACTGAAAAAGTTGAAAAGACGAAAATGGGGAAACTTCCGCCCTGTTTGAATTCCGTAATCCATGTTGCCACTTTAGACACAAATGACAACTTCATCACCTCCCTCTCTTATATTCTGGCGCATAATTTCTGCTCGATTACGACGTCGCACCGCCTGCCGCTCCCCATCGCTCTCACGCTCCTCCCACCTCCGTATTCCCCACCTTCCAATCCCACCCTCCCACGACCCTGCGCCAGCTCCATCGCTGTCGCGCGTGCTTACAACCGACGTGAGGCAGCGTGCTAGTCAGAAGTGGAGTGATCCGGAGGCGCACGGTGATTAGTTAAAGAAGCAAGAGGAGGGACAAAGACGTAAATTGGGTGGAGGGCACCGAAACAAATGATGATCACGGCGTGACCGGCTTCTTGGAAGACGGGTCATGAGCCAGACATGGACACGTGTTTCGGTTTAAGTGCTCAGGTTCACTCCGCGTTCGCGAACTGTCGGTTCAAAAGACCGATTCAAAAGGCTAGAATGAAATTATGAAATATGAGAGTGAAGAGAGTTGCAACGAAGGGTCCTGACAATTGTTAGAATTGGTCCTTTGTTATCCAACTAAATCCAGTCACTGACTCCACCCACTCTATGCATTTTTCGTGCCTAACACGCTCCTTCCCCCCCCCCCTTCTATTTCTTTTTTCTTCTTTTTCAAAAAGCATCTTGCCTGGCCCCAAAATTAATTTTTTTATGATGAACACTAGAGAATCAATCAGCCATAAATATTCACTATTTTTATTCTGAATTCTTTTGTGAATTATCCTGTTAGTTGATTTAGCGGGCTAGAATGGATTCAAAATGCAGAAGACGTGATTATTTGGAAAATGCATTATTTGAAGAAAAAAAGGGGGGGTACTTAAGGATTGGTGAAGTAGAAAACAAGGGGAGCGGGGGTACATGTGAAAAATTGGAAGAGTAGTGTAGTACACGCACTGGACGGAAAGTGGGGCAGAAAGCAGAAGGTGGCAAGCCGAAATAACGGCCCGTTAGGTTAGAAGCCGGCACCACATCAAGCGCCTCGCCGCTTGTCTCGAAAATCCCGCGTGCCACGTCATTACCCTAACCCATCTCTCCCCCCTCTGTCACGCCCTTGGGCGGCTGCTCCCCCCACAGTCAAACTCTCAAACCGATCGTTGACTCCAACTTCGTCCCTCCTTTTTCTTCGCTCACACGGTCACACCCATCGCACTTCCTATCCTTCTTTATTAATTAAAAAATTAATTAAAACTTTACCAAAAAAGATGAAAAAGAAAATCACGCCTGCCCGCCTTCTCGTACCGAATTTATATATATATGCCCACATCTTTCATGTCACAACCCAACCTTGTGAATACGCAAGTCGTTGTTTTGTACTCTATCTCTTTGGATCATGCCAAGCACCACAATGGCTGTGAAGGAAAAGCTCGGTATCAAGCATAACAAGCCAAACATTGCCAAGGAGGTTCACTACAGGGGCGTCCGCAAGAGACCGTGGGGCCGTTATGCCGCCGAAATACGAGATCCCGGCAAGAAGAGTCGCGTTTGGCTGGGGACGTTCGACACCGCGGAGGAAGCCGCCAGAGCCTACGACGCCGCCGCTCGGCAATTCCGTGGCCCCAAGGCTAAGACCAACTTTCCTCTGCCCAACGACGGCGGCCTCAATGGAAATAACCGGAGTCCAAGCGAGACTAGCACCGTGGAGTCATCCAGCCGAGATGGTTCGGAGCGTGAGATAACGCGCCGCTGCGACCTTGGTGTTGTCGTGGATCGGTTCCCGTTTCTTCCGATACAGCCACACCAGATGGCTTTCGGTTGCGGCGGCGGCGGCGATGGTAGTGGTGGTGTGGCGAGTTTAGTGCCAGCTATGCGTCCGGTTTTCGTTTTTGAACCGGCTTCATGTGGTAGGGCCGAGTTTGTGAGTCAGCCATATCCGTTGCCGGTCGCCGTCAAGAGCACAATGGGAAGTACGGCTCCGAGTGACTCCGATTCGTCGTCCGTCGTTGATTGTCAGCCTAAGAAAGCTATCAACCTTGATCTTAACCTGGCTCCTCCGTCTGAGGATTGAGAATTGGCTTCATCACACCTGGCGCAGCGCAATTTTTTGTTTTTTGGGTTTTTTAATCTAATCCAATGATCAATCTCCTGTTATGTTAGCGAAGAGCCAAAGAGGAGTAATTTGTCATTACATCTTTGATGTAAATAGGGCTTTTTTTTCCTTCCCTTTTTTAAGTTAACCAGCTGAACAAAACAGATCCGAATTTCTATGGATCCATCTGAACTTTCTGTAACATGGCTAGTTTAGATTATGTCAATTTAACTTCTTTTGTTTTTCCTGAATTTATGATAGCTCCGACTTGTTTTCCTAGTTGAAGATTTCGTGTTCAAGTAAAACGGACTGAGCCGGGAACCAACAGTAATGATTGGCCTGAAGCTTTGTAAGTCGCGCGTAAAGAATCCGAGGCTTAATCATAACTATCCTTTGGTTGTGGTGTTTCCAGACTTGCACAGACGTAATCATGTATCACAAGCTAGCGCTGTTGAAGACAATCTACTTCGATAATTAGTTTTCTCATTTAGCAAAGATTTTGGTGAATACTCCCTCCGTTCCTGATTATAAGAGACAAATAATCGAATTACGTTGATAAAAAAATAGTTAAAATTAGTTAATAACAATTAATGTGTAAAAAATATAATTTTTTTTCCAAAAATACCTCATTAATAAGGAGAGAGAGCATGAGAGAGAATAATTAAATTATTAAAAGAAAGAGAAGTGGAAGGAAAAGAGAGTATGAGTTGGAGATAATAAATATGGGTAAAATAAGAAATCAATACAAAAAAGTAGAGACAACTTTTAAGTGTCTCTTATATATAGAAACATGTCATAAGCATCAAATGTCTCTTATAATAAAGAAGTAGTTTAGAAAATTTCCCTTAGTTTAATTAATGTTTTTTAAATTGTCAGGATAAATGTAGGTGGAGGTCTATGATTGTCCGACGATCGGCCGAATTTTACATCAGGTCTGTTTTCTTCAGAAGCATGTCTGATGTTTCCCGGTCAGTGTGTGGGCCGCCATAGGTGTGCCAATCCAAGTGGTTGTTCTTTTACTTAAAAATTAAATATTTATATCTTTATGATGATTTAATCATTAACAATTTTAGGAAAAACCAACTAAGCAATTTTATTAAGGATTAGTTTAAAATATCTTATAAATAGTTTTTTAATCATAATTTATAAAATACTATATAAATATGTAAAAAAAATTTTGTCTTTATCTATATAAAATATATTTAATTGCGGTCAATAAGGTTTGAATGGCCTTGGAGAACACCAGCCTTGCTAAACCTTCATACACCTCCAATAATTTTTTTCTCCAGAGGTGATTAGGTATTATGGAGACACCATGTAGCAGCACTGTTACTCTTTCACATGAATGTGGTGTAATTAAAATTTCAAATTTAAAGAAAAACTTTTTTTTAATAGCCAATTTCACGTCGTACCCATTAAAGTCGCATGAAATAACCAGACAGGTTACTGAGGGGGTGATTCCTAACCTAAGGTCTCCCATGTCAACGTCAAATCACATTCCCTGTATACAAAGTTAAGTGGGCTTGAAAAACACATAGAAGGAGGGAGAATGTGACTACATGAATGTGCAAGGACAAGAATAAAATAAAGGAATACATAAAAAGGAGAAATAAATAATATATTTTGGGGGGCTGGATTTAAATAGGGGAGGATTGTCGACAGTATTGAAGCCGCCGCACTAATAGGAACTAAAAAAGTGTTTAGATGGAAAACAAATCATGATTTCAGAAATAATTTTATAGTCTATAAGATAAATATATAGAGGAGTTTATTTCGATTTGTAAAAAAGTGTTTCTCATGATATAGAAGCACCTCCTTAAGAAGGGATTGAAAAATGGGAAAAAGACAGTAAAATACCCTCAAAATTACTAAATGACAAATTAAAGTAGGTAAATTTCAAAATCTCAATTCAGACCCCAGGTATTATTTTGGAATTTTTAAATCTTATAAAATGATAACGTTGTCCTTACTGTCGGCGACTACTTTCATATAGCCATTGACTACTCTATTTTAACTATTGACAACTTTTGTTTTCAAAGTTCCAATGAATATTTTTATATAGCTATTGACTACACAAGAGTAGTAAATCGCATTACTGGAGTAGTCAATAGCTTAGTAAAAGTAGTCAATACATAAGAAACAGTAGTCACTAGAACTCCCCTGACCAGTCCTCAGAGTTCCGGTAACGTGTCATCAAAGTTCAAAAATAAATATAGTCAATAGCTAAAAAAGAGTAGGGTCGCCGGCGTCGGAGCTCTGGTGGCCGGAATTGCTGATGTGGCAGTATTTTAAAAAAAGTAAAGGGCATTTGTGTAATTTTACAATTTTTAAAATTCCAAAATAGTACCTGAGTCTAAATTGAGATTTTAAATTTACCTATCCTCTTTTGTTATTTAGTAATTTTAAGGTATTTTAATGTCTTTTTCCCTTGAAAAATTGTGGGTGCGGGAGTGTGGGGGAGTGGGGTAGCGTGATGAAATATTAGGGGCAATGAATGAGCGTCCCTGGGTTGGATGAGTGGTGACTGGGGAGGCAACGACGACGCGGACTGGGAGAAGGGAAAAGGAGAAAGCAAATCACGGAACTGTCGGGTAGAGAGACGCGGGTCCCACGCTGGGGGGATCTGCGTCTTGAAGGGTACGTGTCACCATATACTGTGGACGGCACGTGTACTTCTTTTTGCCGTCCAAATATGAACTCCGCAAATGCGAGTACTACGAGGGGAAGGGAGGATTGGAAGGAAAGAGGAGGAGGAGGAGACAGAACTCACAGAAGGAGGGGTGCCGTCAAACGCCGCTTTTGGTGGGACCCACAAGGGGCGTCGGCGGAATCTGTGGAGAGGATATCGCTCTCGCCTTTTGTTCCTCCTTCTTTCCGTCTTTTTCCCTTTCTCTCCTGCTCCCATAACTACCACGACGCATCCCCACGCCACGCCACGCCACCCCCTTTTAAAAATAATACTCCTCCAGTTCTAATTATAAAACCTAATTGACTTATTTAAAGAGATTAAAGAAGTAAATTAAATTGGTTATTTATAATAAATAAGTGTTGTCATTTTTAAAATATCCTTACTAATTAAGTATATTGGCTAAAACTATCATTATTAGAAGGATTATCTTGGAAAAAAATGTATAAATATAAGAGACAAAGTGGATTGAGATCTTATAATTATGACCAAATAAAAAGTCAAATGGGGTCTTATAATAAGGACCGGAGGAGTATTACTTTATGTACTTAATATAAAAAATAATTGATTAATTTAAATATATTAAAAATTTTAATTAAATTAGTTATTTATAATAAATAGTTTGTCTTTTTTAAAATATACTTACTAATCAAATATATTAGTTAAAAGCCTAGAACTATTATTATTACAATGATTATTTTGAAAAAAAAAAGAAATAAATATGATGAACAAGATTGATTAGCGTCTTATGTCTATAACCAAAATAAAAATCAAACAAACTTTTATATCAAGAACTGTAGGTAGTATAAGCCATAAGACACACCAGAGGTAGTATTTCAACCAAATTATCCACCTTCAAGGCTATATGCCTTAAACTACCTTCCATCCTTAGTATTCCTTCGGTCCTTAATATAAAATTCATTTAATTAATTTAACTGGATTAAAGAAGTTAGGTAAGTTAGTTAATTATAAAAAAAGTGACACATTTTTCCTAAAACACTGTAATCATTTTTCTTAATACCTCATTTCCCTCTTCTATTTGATTATAGTTGAAGGAGTATCCCTAGGGATAATTTAGAGAAAATTGATAAATATAAAAAATGGGCATTATTTTTAGAACTAAAACCAATTCAACAATTGGGTCTTATATTAAGGATCGGAGGAGTATTACATAAAAGTTAGTTTGATTTTTAAATTGACTCTAAATATAATATCTTAATTTACTTTATCTTTCATACTATCTCTAGTCCTTGATATAAGATTTCATTTGATTTTTATTTTGATTTTAAATATAAGACTGCAATCCACTTTGTCTCTCATATTTATTTATTTATTTTCTCAAGGTAGTGTTTCTAATAATGATAATTCTAATCAATACACTTAATTAACAAGAATATTTTATGAAAAACAACACATATTTATTACAAATAACTAACTTAACTTATTTTCTTAATCTATCCAAATTAGTCAATTAACTCTTATATTTAGGACCGGAGGTAGTATTTATCTGTTTTTTTTTAAAAATAGTTCTTGTAATAATTGTATATATTGAAAGTTTCATCAAATAGTAGTTTTAGTTGATATAAATAATTAGCAAGGGTATTCTTTAAAAAAAAAACAACATATATTTATTATAAATAACTAATGTAACTAATTTTTAAAATTTTTTTAAATTAGTCAATTAAGTCTTATATTAAGAATTGAAACTAGAATTATCATTCTATTGTAATATTAAATGGATAAAAGTCTTCATAGTTACTCCAAAGAAAGGATATTGAGAAGAAAAAAAACATGCTTTATATTTTTTCTTACCTAACTTTTATCCTATTTAATCAGGATAAAATTAAAAAAAGTCATTAATTACCTTATATCTAGGAATTAATTTTTTTTCTTATAAGTAAATTATATATAAGAACAGAGTTGTGTGTTAATATTCTCCGTCCAAAAAGAAAGTATGTTAATACTTAATATTCAGGCAGTCAGGCGCAATCAACACACTTCACATGCGAGGAAGTGTAATGACATTCCCATTGTCTAAAACAGCTGTCATTAAATCAGGGGAATGAACGGTAAGTCAGCATACTCATACTAAAATGATTCGGCCCGTGCGATGCCAAAAACAGGAAAAGAAAACGGAGAGTGAATGGTGCGGCGATAAATATTAAATAAATGAGTTCACGCGGGAGGATCCGCGTGGGCCATGACGCCGCTGGGAAAGTGAGGGATTAGGCGCCAGAGGCGGCCATGCCTAACAGGTTTTTATTCAGATTAGTGGGATCCAGACGTTGTGATGCCTTCACACGTGGCCTGCTCCTGGCGACGCCCTCCTTCCCCACCACATCAAATTTTGTAACGATAAACTTTAAAAAAAAAAATCATAAATGTATATTTCCGTTTCTCCCTGCTATTAAATTTGCACAATACTCTTTTGTTTCGACATCCCACTTTATTATGGGATTAGGTCTAGCAGAAATATTAGTCATTTGTGACGGAATAAATCAAGGTTGAAATTCGAACTATTTATATTTAGTATCTGGTAATACTTTAGATAGAATTGCTTCTAATAAAAAGATACTATCTATTAAAAAAAAATAGTACTTAATTCTTATTATAAGTCACCAAATGCATTATTAATTACATATTTTTTTAAAAATATTTTTGTTTAAAATTTGATGGAAGCTCTTTTAAAATTCTGAAAATATAATTTATATTTTTAAATATGGGTAAATTTGTATTTTTACTTTTAAAGAAATATAATAATTTAATCACCCATCATTAGTCATTAGTTCTGGTAAGGTGATGAAGATGTTATGTGGCAGGAAACGAGTTTAAAGCTTGATTTCTCTTTAATGAGGTTAAGAGTCTGAACCGCGTCAATAAAAAAGCATGTTGAAAAAAAATAAATTTAGAAAAAAACTATGTGATCCAGGAAATTGTAAGCAGTGGGATGTGGGCCCTCAAACTCTGCCCACTGAACACGGAAGAGAATAGGTGACATAAGGCACAACCGCCCATACAGTTCAGTTGCTTGCAAATCTAGAAAAGGTCGTTTTGTATGTGTCGGAAGGGTGGGTGGTGATGTGGCCGCTTTTAAGTACCTTTATGCTTTCTCTTTTTTGCCCCCCAAATTTTATTCTTCAATCAATTCCCCTTAATTCCACTGCCGGCCAAAAAAAAAGAAAAAGAAAAAGAAATTCCTCTCATTTGCTTTTTCTTGCTCTGACTCTTCATCTTGTTCTTTCCTATCCTTTCTTCTTCTTCTTTTTTTTTTTTTCGTGTTTGCCATGCCCTGTGTTACAAAAAAGTTATTCTCATTATATCATACACGCCTTATATTAAAGTTTATATTGCAAATCAACAACAAATCTCTTCCCGCAATCCGCATGACATTTGAAATATGCTTACCAGGCAACGCCCCAAACACGCTATCATGTTTTACACTTCTTTCCATTCATTTGTCTTTTTCCCCTACAGTGGGACCCCACAACGTTGAAAGTTTCAAATGAATTATCTGGCATTAAGGGAGAATTATACTGAAGGTAGGAAAAAAAAAAATCAAAATTATATGTGAACATATGAAGTTTGTGTGTTTGTTGGTGCTCCTTTTTTTTTTAATTTAAATTCACTCTAATTTCCCAGAAACAAATGAGGATTTTTTTTAAAAAAAAATCTAAATATTAGGACTGTTTGTTCTATTTTTATTAATTGAGTATGATTAAGTTAGTACTACCTCTGATCTTAATTATAATACTTTGTTTGTAATTTACAAACAAGGTCTTATAATTAAGACAGGAGGTAGTATCATTCTATATACAAACACACGCTGACAAAGTAATCAATATACTCCTATATGTTTTTTTTTTTAAAATCCTCAAACATATTTGTTGATATTAAATACTCCCTTGTTTCATTAGTGCGAAAGGTAGCTGGAAATTGGATTTATTTTTAAATGTAAAATATTAATCCATTTTATTTTTTAAATTTATTATTATTATTATTTTTAAATCTTCCTATTGATCGTACATATGAAGAAAGTTTTCACAAAAAAAATGTAATGTGCATAATTAAAGAGAATTTAAATTCAAAACAATGTCATGTGTTGGATTGTCTTCAGGTATACTGATGTGTTGTTTCATTAACTACTCCCTGATTTCATTAGTACGAGAGATAGCTGGAAATTGGATTATCGTTTTTGTGATTAAATAAACAAATATTACCTATGGTCCTAATTATAATATCTCATTTGTCGATTATAAACAATGTCTTATAATTATGATTGGAAGCAGTATAATGGTAACCAGAATCGAATCTAGAACCCTTCATTTATAATGGAGCATTCATACCATTAGGCTACAATACTTCGAGTCCTTAACCGATTGTTTCGTATAATTTGGAGAACAGCCTTTTAGAAAGAAAGCAGAGACAAGAATCACGAAATGAGAAAAGAGCCACACACCGTGATAGATGATTGGCTCCTACTGTTCATGTTTATAAAGAAAGAAAGGGCACAGAGTAACCAATATACGAGAAAAAAGTATTGATACAAGGACACATAATACAACTGTCATAACCTCATTCTTATGCTGCAGTGACTTCTATTACTAACTACACTGTCACAAAATGATTTTATTCTCTAACTCCTTTCCTTCCAGCCAATAAGCGAATTTTTGCTTTTTGATGCAATAAGCAAATGTTTTTGCACAAAGGCAACAAGCCACAACCTTTATCGGGCATGACCCAGACCATAACTTCAAAATACGTCTCCCTGCCCTACATTCTCTAACTAAGGGAGCCCCAATAAGAGAAAGAGCACCCAAAGAAAACTAATGAAGGTCCAAGCCCAGTTCGAGCCCAAATGACCAAGCAAGCGATCTCCTAACAAGGATCACAGTTTCAGAAAGAAACACAAAGGGCCGCGGTGCCGCACGCCCGCCTTCATTATGACACGTGGACATCCATCTCGACGATGACGACGTGGAGTCCCTTATCAACCATTTGAAATGGGGTCGTTGGATGATACAATGCCTACTTGGCTACTTGTCTATTACCTCATCAGGAGTCAGTGTGGACGATCGCACTGGATAGCGAACACACTGCCCGAAAGAAATCTATTTTATTTTTAATTTTGATTTGATTTTCTTTTTGACCAGAAACGAATCTCTGGCTACTTTAAAAAAAGCCAGAAGGAAAGAGACTCGGACCCGAGCCCAGAGAGTCGATCGAAGGTATGACGTCCGGCCATTTTATGTTTTTATTGGGTACAAATCTGAGGTTTTGATGATGGTTCGAAGATCGTGTATCATAATTGAAAGCGTAGTTGTAACCAAAAATAACTGAAAGCGTAGTTTTAACATGGCCCTCCGGAAATTGAACTTTGGTCACGTTTTCTTTTCGTAGATTCCCAGCTAATTGGTAACTGCAAACATAGGCACCACTTCCTGAAACTTTCTTTGCTTGCTTGCTTCTTCTTCTTCTTCCTGTTCTTTTTGTGTGCATTTCGGTGTAAAATTTTGCTCTTCGAAACTTTAGTCCTCATCGATGAGGCGTATTTTGTTGGACGAAGAAGCTGCACAATCAAATCAAATTTCATTTTCATTTGTCAACGGGCAGTGATTTGTTCCTGAGTTTAAGTGAACTCTTTGTTGCTTTTCATTGAGGGGATTATATTTTTGTCATTACACTTGAGTTTATGCCTTGCATAACTTTCGATCAACCGGTGATGCATTTCAAATGAGGTGTCTGCTGCCAACATGTTCGTTCATTGGCGGGAATGTCCTATGATTCAGAATAACACGAGGCAACATTTGTGATGTTATAACTTGTTTGTGATGGAACAGTGACAAACATTTTTGCTTAAAGGATAAAAATTTAAAGGCCAGTGACATTTAACTGGTTCTGTTTTGGGCGAGAATAGAAAGAAATAATATCTACTTACCTGAGACGACACTCTATACAGTTTTACAATTGGCGTTTTGTGACCTGTTTCCAGTTTTGGTAATACTCAACATAGTTGGTCCCCCGCATAGGTTTACCTTTAATATACATTTTTTATTCATTGATCACAATTTCTCTTTCATAAACTTAAATTCTTTAGCATACCAGTACTGGCAAGTAAAGAGGAATGGTTCTTTGTTCATTGAATGACTTATTTGTTTTCTTTTGTTATAGATGTGTCTTAAAACTTTTGCTGAGAAGAGTTTTTCCACTTAGTATCAAAGCCTCTTTGACCAAACTGGTTCATATAGACTAAGTAGCTATGGATTTGTTATTGTACGCCACATCTAATTTTGCATGCTGAGCACTCTGGTAGCATCTGGATATGTAAAAACTCATCGTACTTATTATGCTGAAGTGGTTCACATATCTAGTTGTCATTGTTCTCTTGGAATCTTAGGCTTGTTATTGTTCCCAGTTTTATTTAACAATCATCACCATCCTTGTCATCACACCATCATCATCATCATCATTATCACCACACTTTGAACACAAATATGACTTTTTTTCATTGATTGCTTGCAGTTGTAGAATCTGAATATATGAAATCTTTGTGGAAATAGTCCTCGTTGACGGCTGCAAGTTAGGAGAAGAGGACATCTGTGCAAATACAGATGCTCCTAATTCTACAATGAAGCGTTACGTTTACATCAATGATGACGAATCAGCACGTGGTATCTACTGTGACAATCGCATATCAAACAGAAAGTATACTTTATTGAACTTTCTACCGAAAAATTTATGGGAGCAGTTCAGGTAATTATTCGTTGATCAAATGTCAATTACTTATTGTTTTGCATTGCAACTTGGAAGTATCATAACATTATTGTGTTCTCAGCTATGAAATCTTTATCCTCTATGATATTGATAACAAAGCTTTGATTCATGGAGCAAAAGTCCATTTTATGATCTTCTGTATGTGTGTAATGTATGTTTAGATTTTAGAAATTCATCATAGAAGCTGACAAGTTATAAGACTGAAGAATAATTTACAGTCAAATAGAAAGGAGTAATGTAAAAGAATGCATGGGTGATCCCTAGCAATGCATATATAACCTTTGTGTAGCTTTCTGATTTTAATCAATCAGTCTTCTTCTTGTTATACACTTATACTATGTTGGAGCTTTCTCATTATGACTGGTGCCCACATTTTTGTTTCAGAAGTCGGTTTCGATGGCTTTTTTTATCAATGAGGGTTGATTATATTATGCTTTTTAGTTTCTTTTTTTCACTCTACCAGTTCTTATGGTATCTCTCTCTTATCCAACCCTTTGTTTCTTTCTTTTGTTCCAGCCGATTCATGAATCAGTACTTTTTACTTATAGCTTGCCTACAGCTATGGCCTCTCATTACACCAGTAAATCCTGCCAGTACATGGGGTCCACTTATCTTCATATTTGCAGTCTCTGCGTCAAAAGAGGCTTGGGATGATTACAACAGATATCTTTCAGACAAGAAGGCTAATGAGAAGGAAGTCTGGGTTGTCAGCAAGGGCATTAAGAAACATGTATGAAAACTTAACTTCTTCTGACCTTGCCCCCGTGTTGTTTTTGATTTGAGAACAAAGCAGCAAGACAATTAAAAAGAAGGACGTGTAGGAGGATAGACTTATGGGTTCAAGCTTTGTATTATGTTGTTTTTATTTTATTTTTGGTAAAAGACGCTGACTTAAATGAGGAAGGCCAATTTCCTGATTTGTCCAATATATGGCAACTGATTCATCACAGTTCATGATTTTGATTTTAATGAGTACTGTGCACATGTTTGTATCAAGCAAGGTTCATGAAATATTAGAAAAACAATTTAAGGCTGCTTTTCTTACTTTTATGCCTGTAGTTTAGTAGCCATATTTACCTCACGTATATTCCTCAAATACAAAGCGTTTCTCTTGCCTTATCTTATTCCAGATTTCTGGTTTATTTGATTGAAGATAGTGCGAGTTTGGTCTGTCCATTATTGCCTATACTTATTGTATGGTTCGCTTTGTATTATGTTCATATATACTACTAAAAGGGGTTTAACTTTCGTTCTTCTAAAATAAATGGCCTGCAAGAGGTAAATAAAAGAAATTAGTTGAATACCAATATGGCATCCTCTATTTCTCCAATCTATATAACTCCTAAAAGCAGCAGTTGGGGTTTACAGCTGACCCACAAACAATTTAAACTCTAGTTTACAGCCTAAAGTGAATGCGGTGAAATGCATTAACCATCAATATGATTGTTCACCGTCTTGCGCAGAATCATATTGTGAGTTTCTGCACATTCTCATGCCATGTTATCAGTTTGGTGACTTTCCTGTAAGAACCTTGGGAATCAATCTCATCCACAAGAGCAGGGATATTTTACTTATTAAGGGTCTTGATGCATCAATTTGTGTTATTATATTGTTCTTTTATGGGGCGATTTGGTCATTGGTTTGATCTTTGTCATTGTGTTCATTCTTATCCATGGGCTTTATTGTCATAATACAGCCTTCATATCTTGTAAAGCTAACTCTTGCATATTTGTTGTTGTCATAGATCCAAGCCCAGGATATCCATGTAGGCACTATAGTATGGTTACGTGAAAATGATGAAGTGCCTTGTGACCTTGTTCTGATTGGTACCTCCGATCCCCAAGGACTTTGCTATATAGAGGTAATTATTTTGGAAACATGCTAAAAATTGTCCTCTCTCACTTTCATGTATTGTAGAGGAGGGAAAATATTTCTAAACTTATTATTTTCCTTCCTTTTCCTTTGATGAAAGAAGTATATATTTCACTTTGTGCATTTCAAGGACCTGATGATTTGGCATGTTATTCAGACTTCTGCACTGGATGGTGAAACTGACCTGAAGACGAGGATTATACCTTCTGCTTGTATGGGAATAGATGTTGAGCTATTGCACAAAATAAAGGCAATATTTTGTTTTTAAAAGTATCTATAATTGGTAGAATTGTTTTAGTCACACGAGTAGTAAAAAAAATTAAACGGTTGATGTCTTTGTATGTGTGTACAGGGTGTAATTGAGTGCCCTAATCCAGATAAAGACATCAGAAGATTTGATGCGAATATGAGGCTGTTCCCCCCATTTATTGATAATGATATGTGTCCCTTAACAATTAAAAACACCATTCTTCAGTCATGTTACTTGCGGAATACGGAGTGGGCATGTGGAGTGGCTGTATATACAGGCAAGTTTTTTGATAGTATGAACTGTTGGGACTATATACTAGTTTCTGTAGTCAACTGACTTTGCATTGGACACATGCTTCATTTCCTTCAGGCAATGAAACCAAGCTGGGAATGAGTAGGGGTATCCCAGAACCAAAGCTCACTGCAATGGATGCCATGATTGACAAGCTGACTGGTGCTATATTTGTATTCCAAATTGTGGTTGTTATGGTTCTGGGCATAGCTGGCAATGTTTGGAAGGATACAGAGGCAAAGAAAGTATGTCACAGTTTTCGAATTAATGTTTTGTATGCACTTACAACTAACAACTGTGTCAAATCATGTGCTTGTTAGGAAATGTTCACTTGTCCTTGTAGTCTGTAAATTGCAATATTGTCTTTCCACCTCCAATTACTAGTTTGGGAAGATTTGTTGTTTGGTGGATCATTCAGGCCACATTTCAATGTTCCCTGCTCAGCTTGTTTCCTCTGAGAGTAGTTTGGTTTGTTGTACCTCAGGGCTGATGTGGACTACATACTTGAGTGAAGTTCACACTCAATAAGGAAAGCTCTTTGACGAAGTAGATAATCTTTTTAATTAAAGTGTACTTCCGTGAGATCAGTGAACGTTCTTGTTCCAGGGCCTGTGAATTTTTATTTTCCTTTCACGGTGCTAATTTAGTCTTTAGATGTTTGGTAGTCGTCAGTCCTTCATGTAACTAAGCTTTTGACTTATTATTGCCTGACGTTTCTGTTTACTTATCGTCAAGTTTCATGTTCTTTGAGGGTGCATGTTGGTGGAGCCTCATGCTTGTTTTCTTTTCTTCTCTGATTTCTTTACTCCTTTTTCCTTGAAGCAATGGTATGTCCTTTACCCAAATGAAGGCTCTTGGTTTGAACTATTGGTCATCCCTCTGCGATTTGAGCTTCTTTGTTCGATCATGATACCCATTTCCATCAAGGTAAGCTGATGGTTTAGGTTTGAGTTATAACAATTGTTGCAAATTATATGGTTCAATATGCCCATAGGTTTTTTATCCTGTTGTTATTCCAAGTAGTTTGGTTGTTTCAAGAAGTGATGATAGTCTTAGAGGAAGCAGTAAGTATCAAAGACCTTGAAAGATATCATCAAACTGATATACTTACCTGATATTGTTTGTAATAAGAGTGCTACAACCATTTTCATAGTTCTGGATTAGTTCAAGTGAGCGGAGGAATTGCAGTGATTGTTCCTGAAGTTAATACGGCCAACTATTAATCTCTGGCAGGTATCTCTAGATCTGGTGAAAAGCTTGTATGCAAAATTTATTGATTGGGACCATCAGATGGTTGACTCAGAAACTGGTATTCCATCCCATGCAACAAAGTGAGTTGGGGAAGAATCCTGATCATACTGAATGCCTTTAGAATTAGAAACAAATATTTTTGCAAAACTTTTTTAATGTAAATTATGCTGGTCATGTGTGGCAGTACAGCGATAAGCGAGGACTTGGGACAAGTTGAGTACATATTGACAGATAAAACTGGCACTCTGACTGAGAATAAGATGATTTTTAAAAGATGTTGTATCAGCGGCATTTTCTATGGAAATGAGAATGGAGATGCTTTGAAAGGTCTGTATAGTTTTTCCATTGAGGGAAACTTTCTTGTTGCCTTTGTCTTGTACTAACTGCACAAGAACTTATACTCTAATGTAATGAGTTCTAGAATTTAAGAACTCTGGGAGAGAAAGCATGGACAGCCTTCTATTGGGCTATTGAAGTTTTGGTTTCACATGTTGGGTGTGTACTAACAGTTAGATTTGTAGAGTTGAGAATCCATTGTGTATCTGGCATGGCTTAAAACATCAATCCTGTGTGACTGTTGGAACCCAATTATGACTTTAATGATCTTAGAATCCTAAAAAATATGATGTTTCTTTACATCAGCCCAAATCTTGATTTCTTACTTTTACTAATTTTGATTCATATGCATACTGGGTTAGAGTGAAAATGGGCTTGTGGATTGTGAAAAGTTATTAATGACCATGCATTGCATTTTGACAAAATTAAGTCTGGACAGTGACATTTTCTGCCCTCCCATTTTCATATTGTGTTGATGTATCTTGTTCTGTAACTATTCTATGCTGCTATTTTGACCACCTGATTGCCTCCTTTTTTAGCAGATGCTGAGCTTCTTAGTGCTATTTCTTGTGGGTCCCCTGATGTTGTGCGATTTCTTACAGTTATGGCAATATGTAATACTGTCATACCCACACGAAGGTGATTCGGCCTTTATCCTTGATGTGATTAATGGACATGGCAACTTTTAAGACTGTCATGTATCTTGACTGTGATAGTTTTAGTAAGCTTTGATAAAGAAGTTATTCATTTTGGACTTGGTTTTTCTTGTGGTCATTAGCAAAATTGGAGATATTTTTTATAAGGCACAGTCTCAGGATGAGGATGCTCTTGTCAACGCTGCTGCAAGGTTGCATATGGTTTTCTTCAATAAGAACGGCAGTATTCTTGGTACATGTCACTTGTTTCCCTTTTAGAGCATCATTGTGCTTGTTGGCTTTTTGTGACAATTTTCCTCAATATTTTGCAGAGGTCAAGTTCAATTCTTCAGTACTTAATTATGAAATTTTGGATACCCTAGAATTCACTTCTGATAGGAAACGAATGTCAGTGGTGGTAAAGGATTGCCAAAACGGAAAGATCCTTCTCCTATCAAAAGGAGCAGACGAGGCAATTCTTCCATTTGCCCGTACTGGTAAGACTATTTGTATCTCCTGCTTATGTGTTTTAGGGCAATGAAATATTGTAAATATTGGGATTTTCTTCGATTTATTTTTCTCATATCATGATTGCTCATACCACTTATTGCACTTGAGAAAGAGAGACTACATATGCACTCAGTGCTCCGAGTTCAGTGATGAGCAACAATATTATCAATAGAAAGAATTAGTATGCTAAAAACCCTACCCCTAAATAATTAACTTGTGGGCTGTGGCGTTAGTTGTGTGTGAGAGAGAATTATCAGGTTAAAATAATGGCTGTGAGGGGCCCATAACTAACGGGCCAAGTTTGTAATTAACTCATAGGCTGTGAGGTCTGTGTATGCCTCTGTGTGTGGGGGGGGGGGGGCGGTAGGAGCATATAGTGCAAGTCTAATGGATTCAGATATGAATATTAAATAAGGCGGAAGCAAAACACACTCCTAGCTATTGGAGAGGTTAGTTTCTCCCACACATCACTTGGAGAAGGACAAGCAACACGTGAATTGTATGAGAGAATTCTAGCCTCTTGAATGCTTGTATGTGAGGCTGAGTGATTCCTGCTATTTTCTTTCGGCTTTATCTTCTCACTTGTGACTGATTTACTGTGATTACCTGGATTTGACCCCTAATCCTACACTGATTGGAGGTTAAACTCATCTATTTGCGCATAAACAATGCAAATCACCATTGTTTTTCTGTTTTTTCTGTTCTGGGTTCCATCAGGCTGCCTCATGTCTCTGTAGATTTGGTGAATTTTGGGACTTTCTGCTTTAACCCTCTGTTGGCTCAGGGATTAAGAGAACATTGATGCTTAGACATCAGGCTACTTTCATGTGTTTGATCAGTCAGTTATTTTCTCACATAATTGATGCCATTGCTTTCTGCAGGGCAGCAAACCCGAAATTTCATTGAAGCTGTGGAGCAATATTCTCACTTGGGACTACGTACATTATGCTTGGCTTGGCGAGAGTTAAAGGAAGATGAATACCAACAATGGTCTTTGATGTTTAAGGAGGCCAATAGCACCTTGGTTGATAGGGAGGTAAAGGGCATATGTCACTGACAAAATCATGTACTGTAATTTTGATAAATCACTTCTTCTCAAATTACCATCTATCACAGTGGAGAGTTGCTGAAGTCTGCCAAATGATTGAACATGACTGGGAAGTTCTTGGTGTAACAGCTATAGAAGATCGTTTACAGGTGAGTATGTGCCTTATTTTCTCATTGAGACGTATCCTTTTGGAATCCTTGTTAATCCTCAATGATTTTGCCATAATTATAACTATAACTATTGCCATTTCCTGTACTTGATGCTTTTCAGGATGGAGTTCCTGAAACAATAGAAGCACTTAGAAAGGCGGGAATAAATTTTTGGATGCTAACCGGAGACAAGCAAAATACAGCTATTCAAATTGCCTTATCGTGCAATTTTATTTCCCCAGGTAGTTGGGAATTAAGATTATACTGCATGGTTGTAGCTTTCTTTGAGTTAATTGAAAAATAATTGTTCGATTTGTTAGTGCATGTTGAAGTAATCAAGCAATGCAGGAGTCTTGATATGATGCATGGGTTATTCACCCAGACCCAGTATCTCTTTATTCTCAGACAAAGAAGCTCAACTGTGTCTGTGTGTTTGTCCCGTCTTTCTGTTCTGCGTCTTATTCATTGGGGAAGCTAATTGTGTCTTTTTTAAAAAAAAAAAAATCTGGTGGTTGTTCTTGAAGCTTTAGTGCATTAATAACTAATAAGCCCCTTGAGGTATTTGCTTTTTCTTAAAGATAACTGGTCTACTCTATTTGGGGAACATTTGTTCCCTGGTCCAAGCAAATGTTAGATTTCTCTTTTTTTCCAAAAAATATTTTATATTCTATGTTGATTTTTGACAAATATAAGTTTATGATTTATGAGGCTTTGTTGTCAAACTTTTAGGCATTGAGTCTAGGTATCACGAATACCAACCTGGTATATTAATGGCACTGAAAGTTGATGATATTTCAATTTGAAAAGTATAGGTCCGGGAATGTTCAACTACATATTTTAAAATATATTTTTATCCATATAAATGAAATATATAAGTATTCATAAAACAAATTACATTCCAACCGTGCTTGAGACATGCATGGATTTATTTTCTGTACTGAAACTATCTGACTAGGCTCTTATAGTTGAAGTATTTGCTTTGTCATAAGAAAAGAAAAGAGAAGAATAACTGAAGAGGTTGGCTGTGTATGCATTGGTTCATGGATTATTATTATTATTAGTCATATTAATCCTGAAGTCCAATCTTTATTCTATCAATTCTATCTCAAATTGCTTTAAACTTGCACTGTTTTGCAAGCATTATACACATGCTGAAGTTTTTTTGGTTGGGCATAAATGCTGATTTTTTTTTTTTTTGGGTGACAAATGCTGAAGATTATTAACTAGTCTCGAATATTATTAATAGTCTTGCTAAGGCTGATTACTAACACCAAAATTTTTATGATATTATTTCTTTTCAAACTTGATAGAGCCAAAGGGACAGCTTCTATCAATTGATGGGAAAACCAGAGATGAGGTTTGTAGAAGTTTGGAGAGAGTGCTTCTTACAATGAGGATAACTCCCTCAGAGCCCAAGGTAAAGCTTATATCGTCTGTTTGTACCATGTCAAATTCCAGTGAGGTCGCTTCTATCTTAATGAAGTGTTATAGTTTCACAGCAATGTTATTTACATATACTAAGCATTTCCTTTTTTATGTTACAATAACCCAACTCCCATAACAGAATAATGGTACAACTATCTAGTTTTCTGACTAAATGTCTTTGGTGTCATCACTAGAATTATTATTCCTCTGTGAAAATGTAATTGGATGAATTAATTAAAATGACTTGAAGCTTATAATTTCAATATTATTTTGTTATATCACACAGGATGTGGCCTTTGTTGTTGATGGTTGGGCTCTTGAGATAGTGCTTAATCACTACCGGAAAGCTTTTACCGAGCTTGCCGTACTGTCAAGGACTGCTATATGTTGCCGTGTGACACCATCACAAAAAGCACAGGTGTTTCCTGAAACTCTGTGTGTATTATCAGATGCTCTGTTGTTAGAAATATTCATGTATTTCTCTCCATTCATGCTCTTTCTTTTTCCTATTGTAGAGGGCTTGTGCTCCCTCTATACCTAATATAGATAAGGATGGTGTGCCTAATTAGATGTGCGCTAATGTAGAAGAGAAGAGCCAAGCTTGAAAGGGAAAAATTAAGAATTGATGACGGCTCTGATTTCAAATTTTTTGTCTGTGTTTTGGAGCTTCTTTTACCCCAAGTTTTATATTACAGCTTCTTCTTAAAAGGCATAAGGCTGCGTTACCCATTTCAAATGGTCATTATAGACTGCACTATTATGTTGTTTGATAAAAGATAAATGATGCACATAAGAAACTCAGGACCTACGATTCAGTATTTTCTGATCTTTGTATTCTCATTTGCTGATATTAACAGCTGCCTCTTTGGTGAAACACATCATTCATGCATATGAAAGCTTTTGCTTCTTTGTTCACCTTGGACTGATAACTGCCATTCTTGTGTTTGTTCATTTAACTTCTAATGATACACGTTAACACTGTATACACTGGTTGTTGCAGCTTGTAGAGCTTTTAAAATCATGTGATTATAGAACACTGGCAGTTGGTGATGGGGGAAATGATGTAAGGATGATACAAACAGCTGACATAGGTGTTGGCATTAGTGGGAGAGAAGGGTTACAAGCAGCAAGAGCAGCAGATTACAGCATTGGAAGTAAGATTTTTTTTTTCTTGTAATAATAAATATATACAAAAAATATCCCTTTTGCATGTGCAACTTTCATGTCGAGATGTGTGTAAAAGTTCTGTAAGGCAGTTTGCCAATTACTATCTTCTAATTTTCATTTGAACCTTGTCAAAGAGTTGATTGCCGGAACAATAATTTATATAGTTGCCATAAGTTGAGCCAAGCTCTTTTGCAGACTTAGTGATTCCAGTGATCGTAGATTGATCTAACATTCTTTGATTTGCATATAAATAGAAGATGTCATCTGCTCTTAGGGGATTGATTATATGTTATTTTGCAGAATTCAGGTTCCTAAAGAGACTAATTCTTGTCCATGGCCGGTACTCTTACAACCGTACGGCATTTCTCTCTCAGTACTCATTCTACAAGTCCCTACTGATATGTTTCATCCAAATCTTGTGAGTTTCTTATGCAACATCTCTCTGTTTCTTCTTCTTCTTCTTCCTTTTTTTTTTTTTTTTTAATAATTTGCAACCCTCCACCCTGGGGGAGTACCTATGCATACTGGAGCATTGTACTATCAACTATATAAAGGGCATCCCACAGTGAGCCCAAAGAATATAGTTGAAAGGAAAAGTTAGCATGAGGACACACACTACCCATCATCATTCTCAATATTTATGGATGTAGCAGTGCAAGAGTTGATTTTAATTTCTTCTTTCCGGGCTAATAATTGCATTTTCAGTTTTTCATTCATTTCAGGAGTCTCTGGAACCAGCCTTTTCAATTCTGTTAGCTTGATGGCTTATAATGTTTTCTACACTAGTGTTCCTGTACTAGTCAGTGTGCTTGACAAAGATCTTGGTGAAGAAACTGTGATGCAGCATCCCCAAATTTTATTTTATTGCCAAGCTGGGAGGTTTGATATTTTAGTACTATTTAATCTTGATTTTCTTAAAATCCAGTTCACTGTGATCAAATGTGCAACGGATAACTGCTTCATCGCCAATCTCTGAATTGACTGAAAAACCTTGAAACAGGCTTCTAAACCCAAGTACATTTGCTGGATGGTTTGGGCGATCTCTCTTTCATGTAAGTGCTGTTTATGAGCATATCGTTGGACAGTAATCTGATATTTAATAAAAGTTTATTATTTTCACTGCTACGCTGGCCCTTGAAAATAGATTGAATTCCTTTGCGGCTGAAGTGAATGATATAGAGCCTAAACCTTTTAATGGCTATATACTTCCTATTTGGTATTTATGCCATCTTCGTTATCCCTTATTTGCAGGCAATAGTAGTATTTGTGATAACCATACATGCCTATGCTTCTGAGAAAAGTGAGATGGAGGAGGTCTCTATGGTTGCGCTCTCTAGTTGTATATGGTTGCAGGCTTTTGTGGTTGCAATGGAGACCAAGTAAGTTTGAACCAAAGAAGCTGTAGATGCAATAGCCTGTCAAAATTTGACAGGGCGTTGCATTAAGTTACTTAGACTTTCGCTATTTTTACTTTTAATATGGGCTTAAAGAATACTGAAATACGTAGTTTCAGTTGTGAAGATAAAATTCATATATGGTTATTGTCTTTATTTGCTATCATTGCACCAACCTGTTTGGAACATCTGCTGCTTCTACTTTTTAATGTCTGAATATTTGATGCCTGCAGTTCCTTTACAATATTGCAACATCTTGCTATATGGGGAAATTTGGCTGCCTTTTACGTCATCAACTTCATCTTCAGTGCCATTCCTTCGTCAGGGATGTATACAATTATGTTTCGGTTGTGCCAACAACCATCATATTGGATAACAATATTTGTAAGTTCCTCCTCATCTTGTTTTGCATTCAGTCCCATATACAATTGAGTTTAATCCCAAATAAAACTCAAATTTTTGTTGTTTTGCACTATAAGGGATAAAATAAAATAATATCAGGGCCCTAAGAATTTGGATTCCGTGATCCGTCTTTTTATGCCCCACCTTTTTATTCTTCCTTCGTATTCTTAACTGTGTACATTGGTCACATTTTGATGTAAACTGTAATGGCATATACAGCTTACAGCAGCAGCTGGGATGGGTCCAATTCTAGCCATCAAGTACTTCAGATTTACGTATAGACCAAGCAAAATAAATACCCTTCAGCAAGCTGAACGTCTGGGGGGACCAATTTTGTCTCTGGGCACAATTGAGCCTCAATCCAGATCCATAGAGAAAGATGTCTCTTCCCTGTCAATAACACAGCCCAAAAACAGAAGTTCTGTGTATGAACCCCTCTTGTCAGATTCTCCAAATGCCACCAGAAGGTCTCTTGGAGCAGGAACACCATTTGATTTTTTCCAATCTGCGTCGCGATTATCACTATCTAGTAGTTACACGAGAAATTGCAAGGACAACTGAACCGACGAATTCAGCAGTTGGAACAGTTCACAGGCAATAATGTTGCACATTGTTAGTTCCTCGTAATCTAAATCTTGAGGAAATATGTCTACTTTTTTGGTCTTAAGCTAACATATAGTCTTCCTGTAGCCCTGCTTTACGACATAGGACGTGGAGAATTTTTGCGCCCCTGATTAATAAACCCAATCATGATTGTTCTATCTCCCACTTTGGGACTTAGTGAGATGCCTGGGCTAACAGTTGGCCGTAGGGATTTCTTTTTGTCTTTTTTAATATACACATTAGAATGATTACTTTTGAAACACGAACTTGAAAAAATTCTTGTTGGATCAGAAACTCGTATTCAGGAGATAGAGCCAGCGTTTGTTTATATGTTGTTTTCACTATCTCGCTTTGATGCGGAAACGTAACAATGGGTTTATTGTTTTAATAGTGATTGGTCTTTATCATATTTTATTTATAGATTGAATAAATTCGTAAAACTCTAGCGGAGGCTAAGGTCAAATCTTCCTTTGTGGCTGAAAAAATCTCATGCATTGGGATACAATGCTCTCATTACATTTGAGCAAGAACGATGAGTGAAATGGATGGACCTTCCAAAAAAGCACGACTACTACAATTTCACATACTTTTCTAGAAGCATCTCTGAATATATTAATGCTCTGATGCCAGCATAGGAATTTGATGATGGTTTGAATTCTATTGCTGTTGTGAGGATTTTGTTTTGTTTTTGTTAGTAGGTATGGGTGAGTCCTCATAGCCTAACTCGAGCATTTAAAAGAATCAAAGGTAAACAAATGAATCTCTTGTAATATGTACATAGAGTAATGATAATTTAAAGAGACGGAGTACAGTTTTTAATGTTAGCATTTTTATTTTGGACTTTTCTCATTAAAAATTCTTCAGATCATTTTTGTTCTTTTTAGAACTGCGCATACTCAACATTGACCATCCGAATCATTAATCTGATAACGGAACAGATCACCAGTCCCCTTCAGAATTCAACTGCAAGCATTGGGGTGGCATTTCATAGGCTTAATCGACATTTTTTTTATGAGTATTACCACCTCCTTTTCTTTTTGTAAGATCCAATTAATCAAATTACACGGTTTAAAAAATCTGTTATAAGAGAAATAAATATGTAAGAAACGTGTTTTTTTTATATAACAAGTATGTTACTTATAAGAGGGTAGATGAGAGAGAGATAGTGAGAGAAAAAAGACACGAGAATGTATTGGAAAAAAGTATACAGTTAATTAGAGATAAAATAAGTTAAAATACATTTAATGTTCAGATAATGTCAAACTGAATCTTATAAAAAAGATTAGATGAACTTAAAAAAATTAGAAATTAGAAATAAGTATCAGGGAGTACGTGTCTGTGTATTCACTTACATGTGTGTATCATAATCATTACCTTTTTGTTGTACAAGGTATATACAAGTTCTAAAATTGATTACAAGTAAAGCTTTGAAGGACTTGGAAAATTAAATTCCTTGTGAATATCGGCTCAAAATGCACGCACTTGTGAGTGTCGGCAGTCCTCTCTCCATTGAAGAGTGAACTAAAATTGAAGTCGCAACTCACAAGCATAGCCCTTTTTTTTTTTGGACGTTTTCCTTAATTTAGCCAATCTTGATATATTAAACTTTCCAGTTATATAAAAGAATCCTTTAAATCTAATCACCAAGAAAACTTTAAATGGTATAGCCTCTTCCCTCTTGAATTTTTGTAATAAATACTGATGATGACTGACCCATGCCAAAATAAAATCGAGCCTCCAGCTTCTTTTAAACTAGAAATCTGATCAATTAAGTGTTTCTCATGATTAATTTGATTTGTTATGTATTTTTTATAAACAAGTCTGATCAATAGTTTACGAATAATCCGACCAAATCTTTGCTTAATATTTTCAATTAAGTGTTGATGATGCTATTGGCCAAAATACAAGTGTTGCTAATGCTATAGGATGTTAAAAAGCTCGTGAGATTTCAAAATTTTTCAAAGGAATGATAAAAAAATGATTATGCTTGTCCTTTAAAATGAAGAAATAATACTGTTTATATATAATATATCAATGAAACTATATAATAAAAGTTACAATTAATGAGATTTGTGTTGATGAAACCTAAACTAGTGTGACTAATATTTATGAGACCTAAAGTAAGAATCACCTAAATTTAGTACATCTAGTGATCTACTCAACAACCAACTTTAATTATAGGTAACAAAGTCATGCCTTTGCAGCAAATAAATAAATAAATTGGGACTTTGCATTATTTATAATTGTGCAATTCTATTTGGCCAAATTACATAAATTATTTCAGTTTTTGAGATATGTGAAAAAAAAATAGAATTAATTTTTACACAGATAACTCCATGTTATTAATTAATTACTAATTCATTATTTTACTAACAAAACGCAATACGTGAGTGATACCTTTTAAACTTTTTTATAATCTTTCAAACTTTATGTTATGCGCAAGTTTCGTGTAGATAATTTTTTTTTATAATATTACATTTTATTATTGAAATAGCTAACCAGTTAATGGTACTACAGAATTATTTTGTATAAATATGAAAATTTTAAAATATTAAGAGAATTATGCATATAATATCCAAAATTCAAAAAAAAGTCGTATGTTATTTAGCTATTTTATAACAAGGAAGTGATTCAAAGTATAAATTATTTATGAAATATCCATACGTGTGTGTTTATATGATTGTGTTTGGCATGTGTGAAGAAAGATCCAAGAAAGGGAGAAGAGGAGAAAATTTCCATCTTACTTATTTGGTACATAATAATATAAATCTAAAGAATTAATAATTTTTCTCATCATCAAATAAAGATCAAGTATGGAATCCACTTACCCTCTTCCCCTTTTTATCCATTTCCCTCAAAATGTTTCCATCGCATGCTCAACATAACCTACCTATCCTTTAAAAAAAAAAAAAAACAGAACACACACACACACACTCTTCTTTGCATCTAATTTTTATTTTGTATTATAAACACGAAAGTTGGGAGGGCGTGAACGATATAATAATATCATGACCATTCTTAATACAAAAGTTAACTGGGAGTTAAATTTAATGTTAAATATTATACGATTTCAATCCACTTTATTCTTCATTACAAGTTTTTTTTTTAAAGTATCTGTATTACTGGGAAGAGGTAATTCCAACGTAGTACATACACATGATTTTAAAGAGAATAGTTTGGGAAAGTCAATGTATATTTAATTTGTTACCAACAACTAATTTAATTATTTTTTTAATATTAAAAATTTCACTATATAAATGATCATGAGCGGAGGTAGTAATATATTACCTCTGGTCCTAATTATAAGATGTCATTTGTAGACTATAAATGAGTTGTCGAAGTAATATAAAGGAGACCTTAAAGCCTGAAATGGATGGAGGAAATAGAACACAAGTGTGGGGCTGAATATAATGCAGCTCCCGCGCAAACTCACACTTACAGTAATTGATGTAAGGTAAAGTGGAGCCCAGCAATTCAGGTGTGTTTGAAATAAGATTGCCTCCGAGGAAACCTAAAGGCATAAACAGTAAGATATGACTATAGAGTATATGCTAACATCTGAATCTCACTCTATAGTACGTAACGATGTCGTGCCTCTTAATTTGCCCTATAATTCATCAATTCATCGATGCCCTCCTTTAAATGGCCTTCCCTACCTACACGTTTCTCCATTAATGGTGGCCCCTCGTCACCTCATTTCACCAAAACCAACTGAAACAAAGAAATTGAACGAAGAAAAAGAAATAATGATGTAGTTGTTCCAATTATTGTTCTCAACCACACACGATGTTATACCAGATTCTGAACAAAGGTGTTTGATTTCGAAGGTGAATATCGTGATATCAAAATTCAATTCAGGTTGAGACCTATGAACCACTAAACTAGTCCCATTGTCGATTTGATCAAGAGACATGTCGGCCAGCTTGGATTATATATATATATATATATATATATATATAACATTGTTTCTAGTTCAAAAATTTAAAAATTAGAGTCATAATATTTGTATCAGCTCGATTTTCAGTGACTTAATGAATGCTCTAAATACATTTCTCATGACTAGGATATTTAGACTTCAGACATGCTGTCGGCTGTGATAATATTTATAAATTAAACGACCTCTTGCTCCCGCAATATTAATTAACTTTAGGGGGGAAAAAGAAAGAAAGTGAACAGGAGTCTTGAATTTAGTATGATGGAGACTCAACATTTCGTATTCAAAGTACATTAATATCATCAAAATTTCCATTGGATCTATGGTCATTTTATGTTATACATAATATATAATATAATATAGCAAGTCAGTACATTTCATTTCAATTCAAGAGTGCGGTTGAGCAGCTTGAGTGATAATTGTGCTTTGGACTTTTTCGGAGACTCGGTATCTATTTCCAAAAACGAAGGGGCCGTGTCATTAGGAGAGGAGGTTAGTGTAATGGCCAAAAAAAAGAAAAGGAGAGGGAGTTAGTGTCACGCCTATATTTATAGTACATATAATTATTAATGAGTATTAAAATAAAAAAGAAATAAAGATATATTATATCTAATCTTTAATATAAGAGCTAATTAATTAATTTAAGTAAATTTAAAAAATTAGTTAAGTTAGTTATTTGTAATAAGTATGTGTTATTTTTTAAAAAAACACGCTTACTAATTAAGTGTTATTTGATAAAATATTTACTACTTGTAATTACTACAAGGACTACCTCGAAAACATGGATAAATATAATAGATAAAGTGGATTAGAGTTTTATATTTAGTATCAAAATAAAAATTAAAATAACTCTTATATTAAGGAACAGAGGTAGTATAATTTTTTTTTCTAATTTTCTTAAATATTCCTTATCATTTGTTCCATGTTACCCAACGAAGACGTGCTCTAGTAATCTTCATACTGTCTTCTCTGCTTAATATAAGAAATCGTTTGACTTTTATTTTGGTCATAAATATAAGACCTCAATCCACTTTGTCTTGCATATTTATTTATTTTTTTAAGGTAGTCATTGTAATAATATTAATTCTAACCAATACACTTAATTATCCAAAATATTTTAAAAAGGACAATATCTATTTATTACAAATAACTAATTTAACTAATTTTCTTGATTTACTCAAATAGTTAATTAGTTTTTACTTTAAATACTGAGGAGTTTTATTTGTCTACTATCACCCAACATGAAGATAAGGACCCCTATGATTCCTCTTATTTATTTTATTTTTATTTATTTCATGACGTAGTAATGAATTATAGTTATGTGAAAAATTGCAGGTACCTCTTTGCAACGTCAAGAGGGCTATTAATGGATGAGGCTTCTCGCATTTCCTCTTTTTTAAATTTTTATTATAAATAATTATATTATCTATTTAGTTACTACTCTCCCGTTTTTTTTATAAACAACAACAACTATCTCCTTTTTATTCCTAAATATAAATAATATTTATAAGTTGTCTTAAATTTTTTGTAACAGAATTCCTATTTTACCTCATTAACTACTTATTTTAATATTTAATATATTTATTATCACATTTTTCAAACCATCATCTCTCTTCATCATATATTCTCTCTCTTTCATAACTTTTTTTATTATAATAACTTTTATATTCTTTTTGTATACTCTTTTTCCCCCATAAATAAGACTATTTTGAAAAAATAACTTTTAATTTTTACTTATTTATATCTTTAACTAATTTTTTAATTTATATAATAGAATCATATACTGCTTATAAAAAGTGAAGGAGGAGTACATGTGGCTCTTATCGAATCCTTCACGACTCGGTCTTTAAAAGTAAAAGTACACGATCATTTTATATATAAAAATTTCATCAGAATCCACTTTGCATGCATGCCGCCACGTGTATGAAGATTCCGTTTTAAGTACTACCAAAAATTAAACAGAATTAATTATTATATCTGAGACCAGAATTCTCATCCCAAAGAACTAGGTTCATTAGGTTAGGTTCAACACGTAATACCCCAAGCACATGAAGATAAGGCAACGAAAAAAACTTCAAAAGCCAACAACAAAACAGCACATACAACTGATTCATGCATATAATCTTCTTAATTAATAGCTCTAACCTAAAGCAAAAACATATATATATATCATATCCATACAATCAAGCATACATGCATATATATATAAAACTGATATGGTGTCTACAGACATTAATTGTGCATAATGAGTTACAGAAGGGCCAAAAACTTAACAAAACAACAGATTCAGGGAAAGTAATGAACTTGAAACAATAACAATAGACTGTAGACACCCACCATCTCCAAACAGTATTTACACTTCTGCTGCATCATTATCGGCCTCAACAAAATAACTTCACGAAATAATGGTCACCATCCATCTACCTATATCAGCAGGTCATTGACCCAACCCAGATCTGGAGTTGCACATGAAGAACCGTTGTTATCATTACCAACGATTCTGCTTTCGTTGAAAATTTTTCCAGCTGGAGATTTCCTTGAGGCAGATGATAGAGCTGTTGGGTTCTGGGAAATTTGAGAAGACGCTGAAAGAATCATCTGTTGCTGATCTTCACAATTGAAAGAAGTAGAAGGTGAAGGAATGAACCGATCATCACAGTTAAAGGAAGAAACGTCAAGCCAGCGCAGATCTGGGGACTTAATATTAGTGGCAGTGGCAGAGATTTCAGGTGATGAAGAAGCTTCACTGAAATTCAGAACCTCCAAGGAGCTCACCAACTCGGTGAGAGCATCCCTGTAGGTCATGACCATACCCCGATTATTATAAGCCTCAGATCCCTTAATGCTTTCACTATAACGAGATATTGGCGATAAACCATTTGCAGAGGTTCCTGTTTTGATCGGCGACATAGGGGGAGACGACGGCGATAACGGTGGTGAAAAATGGGACATTCCAAAGAGAGTGGAAGTCGGGGAAGAATTAGCGTTAGCAGAGCGATGACAAAACATACAGCAACTGTTTGATCCCAATGAGTGTTTTAAGAATTTGTTCTTCTTGTCTGAGATTTGATCAGGCGAGGAAGAGCAATTAACCGGCAAAATTCTCAGTTGGCGAGGTGTGTGAGCAAAGAAGCATACCTTTCGCTTACAATTCTTACCATCCTTACAAGCCTCCGTCCTGTACCTCGCTGGGTGAAGCCAACATTCAAACACCCCGTGTGCATACTCGCAACTATCGCCGCGTCTGCATGCGCCGCTGCGGCGGTACTCGGAGCAGATAGTACCGGAGTAGTGGTACTTTCTGGGATCCCGCCGGCGAGCTTTTTCCCCGGGATGAGCGAAGGGGCAGTCAGTCCAGTCGTGGCTTCGGCTGCGATTGCACCGGCGGACCTTGAACTCGTACATTCGGAAGTGCTCCGAGGAGTACGGGTTGGGATCGTCGTCGTCAGATTCGGTGGCGAGGTTGTTGTGGGGAAGGAACTTCCGCAGAAGCGTCTCATCGGAAGAAGAAAACCGCGGGGAGTCAGTGAACATATCGGCGACGTCGTGGATAGCAGTTTTGGCGCCGCCAAGGCGAGTGAGGAGCTTCCTGGGTGGCATGTAGTTGTCAATGTCCCTGATCATTGATTTCTTCGGGAAGAGGAGCTGGTGGGTATCTTCAAGGAACTTATGCTCGGCGCATTCAGAACTGCTCATTGTTGCAGTTCAGTGTGAGAGATTTTCAGAGAGAAAAAGTGAGAATATTGAAGAAGAAGGTAGAAGAAGAGAGAGATTGCAGGAGAATTGGCTGTGTGTGTATTGGTGGAGGGAAACATGCGGTGGGATATATAGGCGGTTGAGGAAGGAAAAGACGAGGCAGGGGAAAGAGTAAAAAAAAAAATATAGTCAAATCACTTTTTCTTTTTTAATTTCTGAATTATTTATTATTAAGAAATTATTTATTATTTTATACTTTAAATATATATTATTTAGAATTAATACCAAATATTTTCTTTCATTCTAAGTTATTGAGTTTTAGTTTTCAATGAAAGAATTTATTTGGCCAAAAAAAAAGAAAGAATTTAATTTACTATGTTTTTTAATTGAGAGAAAGTGTCCATGAATTGTGAAATTCAAAATGATAAATAGGTGATGCTAACTTATTTTTGTAAAGGTTTTGATATGTTAAAATCACATATTTATTATTTTAAAATTTAACAAGTTTTTTCTGTCATTTTTTTTCTTTTAAACTTATAATTTTTTTAAAAAAATTATTATCTCTATCACTATTATTGCATATATTAAAAGAAGATTTTTATTAATGGATTTTTTTATATAAATTATTAAAAATATATTTAAAATTTTAATAGGTTTTTTTTATAAATAACTACCTTTATTTATTTTATTAATTTTTTTATAAATTAATGATCCAACTTTAATATTTAGGGATAGGAGGGAGTAAATGTATATAATTCTCTCACCATTATTATATTTTTGAATCGACAGTTTTAATAATTTATTTCGTATTTTATATCGATACATATATATATATATGGTAATCTTTAATTATATATTTTCAAAAATGTAATGTGATCCCTACGATTTTTTGGGTCTACAAGTAGACTCATATAAACATGTGGATACTCTCAATATATAGGCGATAATTAAACATTTCCAGTAGAGTAATTTTAGCTTACATTATACTGTTCAGGTCCTCAATATAGCAGTCAGAGGAGTATTTACCTAAAGATCGATTTGGATGTCTTTACTCTTGTGACAGAATTGATGTGTATATGTGTGGAGTAGAAGACTTGCAAGTTGATGGCCAGGCACAATCTCTCATTGATTACCGTACTTGACAAATTAAATCTATCAACAACTTGATCGATACATAAGCGTTGGGAACCCATTAGGAAGTAAACCACTGCTTTTATATATACACACACTCCTCTGGTCCTATAAACTCTTTATAAGACAGAGAAAGAAAATATTTTTTTGGATCCTATTTATAGGGTACTGTAAGAAATTTTTATATGAATGTATAATTTGATTTTTTATTTATTATTGTATTTATTTTATTTACACGAGGTATAATATATGTTAAATAGGGATAAAGTTGAAAAGTTTTTAAATTTTAAATGAGAGTTAATAAAGTTTAAGATTCTACTTGATCTGTGTGAAACATATTGGAAGTGACTTATAAATAGGATCAGGGGTCTTGGCAATATATAATTTTAATCTCTATCAATTGATGAGACCAACTTGAATTGATCAAATCAACAGGCTACTTAATTAATTATAGTCAGATTAATTCAAACTTTCCTCTAACAAATTAAATCCAGTACTATGTGAATCCCTCCTTGTATAATAAGTAGCCCAAGGGATTCAACCATACCCCGAAAAACAATGAAAATGACATGGTGGCGGCAACATAGTTCATCAACTCACTTGATTACATATAACAAAAATTAGTTAAATTAAAAATAATGTGATTCATACATTATAAAAAAGAAAGAATTCAAATCTTACGAATATGTTGTTAATAAGCATTACTTTTGGTTTTTAATATAAGAACCAGTTACATTAAGTAATTTAAATAAATTAAAAAAGTTTATTAAGTTAGTTATTTATAATAAATGTGTTATCCTTTTTAAAATACTTTTACTAATTATATGTATTAACTAAAACTACCATTTGATAAAATATTTAATATGTGCAACTACTGCAGAGACTAAAAATCAATAAATATAAAAGATATTGATGGGATTTTATATTTAAGACTAAATTAAATGTTAAACTAATTTTTATATTAATTATAGAAGGTAGTAACATGTAAATGACTATTATATTGTTACATCATTTTTCAAGTTTTGAGTTCTGTTTGGTCTTAACCTTGACAAATGTTGGGACCTAACACAATATATATATATATATATATATATATATAAAAGAGTAAATCCAATGGTAATTTACAAAGTTGGTGCCTTCCATGAATAGTAAGATCGGTCCATGCCTTCAAAGGAGGGCACTTGGCACCCATTATCACGCTAATAAACATTATGGCGACTGATCATTGTACAAGGCCAATAATAATAATAAATAAATTGCTGCGTGTATTTATTACATAACTCACACATTTGATTTTGCTCTCATAAATAATTTGAAAACGTGGCAGTCTGATTTTTATTTAGCCGTAATTAGATCAATTATTTTGATGTGAGTAATTGTAATGGGATGCGATATGCGGGGAAGGGGGGGGGGGGAGCATTATTATTGGACATGCAAGAGGGGGTACGTGGCGGAGTTGGAATTGATTGCAGGAAGCAGGTGAGGGCATGTGTAAGGTTTTGACCACTGAGACCAACAAAGTGTGGAATAATAATAATAATGAATGTATAATTGCAGCGCATCGAAAACTTCATCTCCTTCATGTGAACTCTGCTACGTGTCCATTTGCTATAAGGGGGTGTGTTGACATATCTATGTGTGGCCAACATTTGGATTACTTTACTCCTCTCCCTTGCCTCATTTTGAAAATTCCAGATCACATCACTAAGCTCTTACTTCTAATTCAAGATAAATCTACTGTTTCAGGATACTGTAGGTGATATTTTACACTATATTATCTCCTAATTATAAGAGCCAGTTAACTAATTTCAAGAGATTAAGGAAGTAAGTTTAGTTAGTTATTTGTCCTAAATAGATGTTGTCTTTCCTAAAATATCCTTGCTAATCAAGTGTATTGACTAGAACTATCATTGTTAGAAGGGTTACTTTGAAAAAAATGTATAAATATGAGAGACAAAGTGAATTGGGATCTTATATTTAAGACCAAAATAAAAGTCAAACAGGGTTTTATATTAAGGACCGGAGGTAGTATTATTGAAAATTATTAACGGCCCAATTACCATAAAACTTTTGGAAAAACCTAGAGGTCTTTGTTTAGGTCCCACCATAGGCATTCCAATAATTCGTCCAACATTGCGATTGAGCTTGAACTATTGGCCATGGAGGAGCCAAGAGGGAGGAAGATGTTAATGTAACTTTAATTTGTAATTCCATTAAAGTTTCTGAAGACTTGTGCAATAGTATCTTTTTTTTATTTATTAGAATCAGATACTAAATGTAGACATTTTTTTTTAACAAGAATTTGAATCTTGGTTCGTTATACTGTAAGAGACTAACCTTTCAGTTGGGCTCAAGCCTAATTATAAAAAAAGAAAAAGAAGAGTTATTACTTCAAGATACGAGACCTAGAATAAGTCGGAGCCCAATGATATACTGAAAAGGAAAAAGCAGGCCCATTTCACAATCTGGTTGCACATCTCAGGCTTGAAATTGCTCAAACCCACTTTTACAAAAGTTCAAAAAAAAAAAGGTCGCAACTGTATAAACCCACGTGACCTGCAGAGTGGACCAGACTATGAGGACCACTTGTTTAAAAGCTTTTAAGACTAGGCTCTGTCCAGCCAAATCTCTACCTTTTCCTTGTCCGATTCCAACTTTCATTTTAATGCTACTTAATATAAAAATTAGTTAATTAATTTAAATAAATTAAAAAAATTAATTAGTTATCTATAATAAACGGGTGTTGTTTTTTCTAAAATATTCTTACTAATTAAGTGTATTGGTTAGAACTACCATTATTATAATGATTTCCTTAGAAAAAATAGATAAAAAATGAATAAATATGAAAGACAAAGCAGATTTGAGTATTATATTTAAGATCAAAATAAAAGTCAAACGAACTTTCATATTAAATATGAAGATAGTATTAACTATGAAAATGCACCGAAAGAATTTGACAACTAAGATACAAATCACCACTATATGTAGTATATAATATAAAATTTATATATAAAAAAACTGTATCATTTATAAATCATAAATAATCCTCTTTGCCAAATATAGGATTAGGATCCATGTACCAGTATTTGACCTGAAAATAGCGTAATATTTGGTATGTAGAAAAGTTTTTTTTTTTAAAAAGGAAAATGCATATATCCCGTTCCTTTTCTAGGTACATTTTCCATTTTTCTCATAAAACACTCTTTCCCATGCCCAACATCACACACACACACGGACGGGAATAAAGGCAAAATTGCTTTGACTACTGAACAAGCATATCCTGCACTGAACATTGCTCTGTTCTTGCGTATATAAAAATCAATCAAATGTACTACTATGTAACAAAATCCTACGTTGATATTGATTTTCAATGAGCTCCCTAAGAGGCTTGATATGGTTGGATCTAGGAAACTCATACCAGCCACCTCAAAAATTCACCCCACAAACGTGAAACATCATAGGAAAACACAGTTTGAGACACATTCAATTAATACGTGTTTGGTGAAATCTGTTAGTTAATCGCTTCGTCACTTGATCAGTTCACAGCAACTAAAGTAATACAATTATACAAACCACAAATATATGAGGCAGAACAGAACATGCATATTATGGCAGACGCAGAAGAATCTTGAGGAAAAAAGTAAAACAGCATTTGATTCGATTGGATGATTTAGACATACAGTGAGTTGTTATGAGAATATTATACAATTTAGTTCCCTCTGCTGGCTTAAACATATATATTGCATTTGTTTATTCAAGAAAAGATTGTGTCATTACTGGAACTTGACAATGATGCAGGATATGTCATCCTTACTGTTCCTAGCCACAGCTTCTTCTATCAAGCGCTTCGCTGCAGCCTGAGCATCCTTTGCTTTTCTGATACAATCCACTGCTTCTTGGTTTGACATCACCTTTAAATTCAACACATACAATCTTTATCAGCTAAGTAAGCAACCAGATGAAGCCAAGTAATAAAAATTCCAAATATTGAATGATTCTGTGGATTTGAAATCTTTATGTGCAACTTTGATCTTTTCTTAACTGAAGATGAAGTACTAGTTTTGCTTCAGTGGATCCAAATTTCTAAAATTTCTTTTTTACTTCCATTTTCCGTTGAGTAGTACTGAACTGCAAACTTTTGTGAGAATTTGAAAGCTAACCTTCCAGATTCCATCGCTTGCCAAAATAAGGAACTCTGTGCCTTCTTCAACATTCTCTACGATCACATCAGGTTCAGAAGTAAGATGCATCTTTAAGCTCTTATCACCAAAAGCCCTTGCTACAGCCAGCTTTCCATCTACACGAGGCACATCTCCTGCAACAGACAGAATTTCACAGGACTACTAATGTCCTATAATAATTGTAACAAACCCAAATGATACAACGTACGACAGGGCAGAATCCAACAGAGAGCTTAACCTGAAAAAAGCTACCTGGAATGTTTGAGACGAAACCACCACGGCTCTCGATCATATTTTTTTCCTTGCTTGGCTCGTGATCGATGGATAATTGCTTGGGCTTGCCATTCTTGCTAAGAACAGCTCGAGAATCCCCAACGTTTGCTACTACAAGTTTCTGACCATTTATCAGTATTGCAGTTACGGCGGTTGATCCTCCCCGTCCCAACTCAAATGATTGTTCCAATATTTTGTCATCTGTTATAAGGTAAGCTCTCTTCACTGCACTTTCTGTCTCAGTCCAAAAGTCTTCCTGCTTCCGCCAAAATTCGAAATCGTGATCGTGAGCCATATCAAACACGGGAAATTCCAGAGAAGTGGGTGAATCGCAGTGAAAGTCAGGTAATATACGTACAACACCTGCGTACCTGTTTTAGGATGTTGTCGAAAAGGTTGTTCTGCAAATAGCTTGCTACATCATGGCCTAAGTGACCATCAAATATGGCAAACAACCCTAATTCCTTGTCCTTCTCTTGCTTGAACTTTGAAACTACATAGTCTTCCATAGCATGAGCTGATTTCCCCTTCATCAAGTGAAATCCATGTGTTATGTTCTTTGACATTTTGCTTTTACCTTTCCCTCGATCGCATCCTGATGTCCCGAACCCTGCTTTCACCTGCAAGCAAGTCTCGATCTTTATCATTTTTTAACACAAACCATATGCTTGTGGACAGCAGAATCATAAATTTGCAGGGATTTTCATTTTTCAAGAGCACCCATGAGCAAAATTAAACCAGTTTTTCTAGTACACAGGAACCAAAAAAAAAAGAATTGGCCATGCTTAAGCGGCATGAAAGAGAATGAAGGTATGTGCCACTTACCTTCATTTTGTGAAGGATTTCTCTGCCAGTCATGTTGATTTACTTGTGTTTTTTTTCCCAGAAGATCTGTTAGCTCAGGCCTCGGAGTTCAGAGACAGAGATAAAGAAAGAGTAGATGACAGAGAGAAAGAGAGGACATGGGTGAGCAATAATAGCACTCTTTCCGTTACAAATAATTAAAGTACGTTGATAAAAAAAATAATTAAAATTAGTTCAGAATAATTAATATATAAAAAGTATAATTTTTATTTCAAAAATACCTTTATTAATAAAGAGAGAGAGTATGAGAGAGAACGATTAAATTATTAAAAAAAGAGAAGTGGAAGGGAGAAAGAGTGTGAGTTGGAGATAATAAATATAGATAAAATAAGAAATCAACACAAAAAAGTAGAGATATATTTTAAGTGTTTCTTATATATAAAAACATACCTTAAATATTAAATGTCTCTTATAATAAGAAACGGAAGAAGTAATAAATAAGGAAATGGAAGAACTTTGACTTTTAAGCACGTGAACTAGTTGAAACTGTGAACTTTTCTTTGCATTATTATTATGGGGAGACCGCGTCTTTTTCAAACAGCGCGTACTCGCTTGCCGACGACCTCAACTTTTCCAAGTCTTCTTATTCATTCTACTTCCATTTCATTTAGAAATAAAATCATAATTTTAAAAATATTTTTACAACATATAAAATAAATATAAAAAAAATTTATTTCAATTTATTATAAAATATTTTTTAAGGTTTTCAAATACCCCTAAAATCTTGTTTCCCACTAGTAGTTTCATTCCCATTGTTTTACCCAGCAATACAAGTTTAACTAGCCTATTATTAGCTTTCAAAACTAGTTTAATTTTTATTTTAGTATTAAATATAAGATTTTTAATCTATTTTGTCTCTCATGTTTATTTATTTATTTTCAAAATAATCCTTATAATAATGGTAGTTTTAGCTAATACACTTGATTAACAAGGATATTTTAAGAAAAACAATACTTGATTATTACAAATAATTAACTTAATTAATTTTTTTACTCTATGTAAATTAGTTAACTAACTCTTATATATCTACGTAAATTAGTTAACTATTTTTTATATTAAGAACTGGAGCTGGTATTATCTATAATGTATAATCAGTTTGGCTGTTGAGAAAGTTACAATTTCTCTCTCTGTTTTTATCATCCAGAAGTCACAATCTCATTTTGATGATACCAATCAATCTAATATTATCCCCATATATATATACTCCTCCAGTTCTTAATATATGATCAATTTAACTAATTTGATTAGATTAAGGAAATTAGGTAAGTTAGTTAAGTATAAGAAATGTGACACGTTTTTCCTAAAATACCACAATCATCTTTCTTAATACCCTCTTTCCTTCTTCTACTTGATTATGGTTGAGGGAGTATCTATAGGGTTAATTTAGAAAAAATTGATAAATATAATAAATTGGTCTTATATTTAGGACCAAAACCAAATTAAGAATTGGGTCCTATATTAAAGACCGGAGGAGTATATATCTATAAAATTTTCATTGACAAGTGGAAAAAGAGATCAGGACAGACTAAGAAGTTTCTTAGCAGATAAGGGCCGCTAATTAATTGTGGCCAGGAAGAAAGAATCTTTCCCACAAAGAACCAAAAAAAAAAAAGAGAGAGGAACACAGAAGCTGACTGGAAGACCAATATTTTGTATCGAGGAGATTAAGGTGTGAACGTTGACACAAGTATGTAACATGATACTGCTTTTTGAAGCGTAATTTATATACTTAGGCTTAGTTTAGATTTAGATGGGGAAAATAGAGAAAAAAAGATATTAGGAAGGAAAACGGCATTTTTTTAAATAAAAAATTGCAGTAGTATTTTGTTGGGAATTTTTCTTCCTATCCAACGGTTAGTCTATCTAGTGTCAAAGATTTATTGGGTGATTTATCGTTTCTGTAAAGTTTTCTCCCTTTGCTTTTTCACAAGATATATTAGGAGGTACATGGATGACTTTATATTTTAATCGAGCGTAACTTACGTTTTTATTTTTAATTAGGCGTTTTTTTTTTTACATATGTTACATAGAATTTGAAGAACAAGTTTTATCAATGTACAATGCAACTTGTTGCTTATGGAGGGAAAAGTATTTACTATGAATTATGAAAGAAAATATATGACTTAAAAAAAATCAAAAGAGAAGGATTTGATCACAATCATTCAAATGTGTGTCCCACTTGCTTGATAAAAAGATTTGTGATGGGAGAATATACTAAATTACTAATTAAGGAGACTAAAAAACGTGGATAATAACGCAGACATTAAATGTATCATCAATTTAATCATTTAAAGTAATTATATTATAGAGTGTCATATGAGACAAATCTTTTTTAAAGTGTTGTTTAAATAGAGAGAAAAAAAAGGGTGAATTATTGCGGAAAGGTAGATGTATGATGCATGATTTGGTGAGGGGAAGCATTCGAGTGTCTTAAAGCAGAAGATATAGGGCTGATAATCAATTAGAGAAAAGAAAAAGAAAACCCACTTATTGCTTGATTGATGATTGATTTGACAAAATTTCACACTAATTAATATTAATACTACTTCCAGTCCTAATTATAAGAGCTAGTCGATCAATTTGAAGAGATTAAAGAAGTGAATTAAGTTAGTTATTTGTAATAAATATATATTGTCTTTTCTAAAATATCCTTACTAAATAAATTTATTGATTAGAACTATCATTATTAGAGGGACTACTTTAGAAAAGAATGCATAAATATGAAAGACAAAATTGATTGGAGTCTTATAATTAGGATTAAAATAAAAGTCAAACGGGATCTTATATTAAAAACTAGTACAATCTAATCTATGTTAATAGGAAAAAAAATTGCTGAAAAATTCCTACGGCCATTCCCGAAATTTATTATCTAAAAAATTTATTTAAAAACTCATATGTAAACTGATATTCAATGTTATAATTCTTCTTCTCTTTGTGTGTAACTTATTTTCAATTACTCATAAAATTAAAAGATATTTGCACACGGCTAAAAATAAGTTGCATCTTCTCAGAAGTTTGGAATTTAGGTACTTTTAAACATTAAATTTTGTAGCAAGAAAATATTTTCAGTAATTTTCTAAAATGAATATGGGGAAATTATCAAGAATGCTCCTAATGTTATGTTACGCGGTTGTGTTGTGGACCCAATTTTACATCACTACAAAGCGATTTGTCTCTATAGGGAATGCAATGTATTTGTACCAACTTTATCCAGATTAAATTAAAATATGTCCAATTGATTGGAGTATATATTTTAGCTCGCATTCATACCAGTGATACCACACATATGGTGACACTAGCCAACAGATTGAACCATATTTATTTAATTTGATTATAACCATATCCCTATTCTGGAAGCAGCTTGGGCCTACTTCTTCAGGATGCGTTGCCGCCGTCTGCGGAGATTCAATTATTGGACTCGGATAATTTTTCTTGGAAAAATTACACTCAAGTCCCATCTAAAGAAATCTATTACTGACATGTCCTGTGAAATCATCAAATGATTAGTAAGTCCCAAGGGACTTGAGAGTAAGAAAATCTAATTGTGAAATCACTAACATACCCTTGTCAATTTGGGGAAAAAATTGGAAGAAAATAGAGAGGATTTTGCTCATGCTCATTTACGCGAGGGTAGCTATAACTCGATGGGTTATTCAGCTAGGACCTTCTTTTGTGACGAAGAGAGCAGATTGGGTAGAAGACTGAAGAGGCGATTGGAGCGGAGACCAAAAGACGCTGTTAACAAGACCAGAGGATGTGAATGAAGTTGACAGAAAAGGGAGCTAGTTTGTCTTCTTCAACCTTTGATGGCAAGAGCTGGAATAGGGGAAGAGGAAGATGTCGCCATTATTAGTATTCATCTTCATCATCGCGATCTAAACCAGCAAGAGAGGGAGGCCACGAGCAACTGTTCATGGCCATATCACTCATCCAGGTGTGAAATATGAGGACCAAGTGAGGCGTTGCTGAAAAGGGAATATGAACTTAAAGTTTTTTGATTGATGTGAATTAAGTTTATAATGAAGAATGAATTGAATTTATGAAAATAAAATTGGGAAATGATATTACAACCCAAGAGAAAGCTATTGACAATTTAGGCTGTGTTTCTGATAAAAATGAATGAAAATGACAGATTTTATTGTTATAATCCCTGTAATGCGATGGTTAAATGTCTTGTTAATGGGTGCATCGAAGGTTGTTAATGTAACTGTATGACTTGTTATTAACAAGTGATTGTGACAGGTTGATATGAAGGATGACAACTTCAAGTGGGAAGCATTTGTCCTGTTACCTCCATATAGGGGGACAATTTATTAATGGTGTAAGAGGTGAAATGCAATATGTTGGAGGTGGTGTGAGAATAAAAATGATAAAGGAAGGCACACCAATCACTAAAAGACCCTCAGGGAGGCCAAAGAAAAGAAGGATTGAATCTCAATTTCAAAACAAAAAACTTCACCACTGTGGAAGATGCCATAAGCCAGGCCACACTGTGAAGACTTGCCAGAACCCCAATCCAAGTTGAGCTTTGTTGGTGGCTTGTTTATATTTCTTTTTGTGAATGCTTGTGACAAAATTGTTTTGTAAATGTCATAACCCACACCTCAAGTTGTCTGTCATTATCCACACATGCAACCCGTATGCTTTTTTGAATGGGTTGTAAATTTGGTGTAGTTACATTGTACATATATATATCAAGTGGTAAATAACATCTGGTTGTAATCTGATATAATATCATATCTGTATTTTGATGTACTTGTCAATAGGCTGTAATGAACTTATTATCAGACACCGTGGAGGTTGTCATTAGCAGTCTGAATTATGTTACTGATATAAAGTGATAATTTCTCCTACTTGCAGTGTTCAATGATTTCTTAACACATGATTGTTGTGTTAAAGTTGTAATAGTATATGATTTAGTTATAATTTGATGTTATGTGGAGGCTGTGATATCCCACAGCGTGAGTTGTCAGGGACACTGCTGAGGTTGTTAACCACTTCTCCTCGGGTTGTCAACACCCGCTGTTGAGGTTGTAAATGAATCTCTGCAATAAAAATCTATTGTAATCCTATTGGATTCAGTTACAACTGTTAATGACTTCAAAATGCCTCACATTATATTGTTAAGGTCGTTATATGTGCTGATAATACAATTTTTTTAGAAGCTGTGATATCCGACAAAGTGAGTTGCCAGGGGTACTGCCGAAATTGTTAACCACTTCTCCTCAGGTTGTTAACAGCTGCCGTTGAGGTTGTAAATGAATATCTACAATAAAAATGTGCTGTAATCCTGCTGGGTTTACTTAAAGCTGTTAATGACTTTAAAATGTCTCTCATTATATTGTCAAGGTTATTGTATGTGCTGATAATACAATTTTTTAAGAAGTCGTGGTATCCCACAGAGTGAGTTGTCAAGGGCACTGCTAAGATTGTTAAGCACTTCTCCTCAGGTTGTTAATAAACGCCATTGGGGTTGTAAATGGATCTAGCAGAGAGGACTGCGATATATACTTATCATGTCATCATGGTTAGCATTTGTTTATCCGGTTTTATTAAGTCTTCATTTCTGGATATGATTCAGGTTTGAAATAAGAAATTTTGTGGTTATCAAAACACATGAATGCCATTACAACAACTTTATAACCAGTAAACGATGCCAATCATATTAACATAACTTAACATTCAGCTATCATTATATGGTCAAATAAAAAAACAAAATCTAAACTTTACTTTCAGCTGTCATTATATGGTTAAATAAAAAAACAAAATCTGAACTTTACTTTCAACTGTCATTATGCTGTCAAATGAAAAATAAAATGTGAATTTTACATTCAGTTGTCATTATTTTGTCAAATAAAAAAATTAAATACAATATATGCTGGTTGTTTATTTCTTCCTCTTGCTTTGGAGCTTTCCTCGTAGCAAAGATGGCACTTGATCACCATGCAGGTTGTTCCTATAAGTTACAAGCCACCACAAGCATCCAACCTTCAAGTCATGTGACTTCCTTGTCAATTTTGTCCCTTTCATCAAATAGTACTGGACTTCACTCTACGAAAAACTTGGTAGAAACAATCTCTCTACAAAAAAGAAACCAAAAAAAGGAATAACCTTGATAGTAGTGAATGACAAGTAATCAGCAGGCATTAATTGACAATTTATCAAAACTAATTCTTTTCAGCCTTTCCATCATATCATATGTGTTAAAAAATCATTGAACACTGCAAGTAGGAGAAATTGTCTCTTTATATGAGTAACTTAATTCAGACTGCCAATGACAACCTCCACAGCGTCTGATAACAAGTCCATGACAACCTATTGACAAGTACAGCAAAATACAGATATGATATTATATCAGATTACAACCAAATTTCATTTACCACTTTATATATATGTACAATGTAACTACACCAGATTTACATTTTATCTACAAGGTCCACAAATGTGTACTCATCAAAGGTTACTGTGAATTTCATAACTATTTTATTACTTTCTTTTTTCATAATTGATACTATCATTGTTCTAAATTCTTCAAATGATGTGCCTTCCTTTATCATTCTTGTTCTCACACCACCTCCAACATATTGCATTTCACCTCTTACACCATTAATAAATTATCCTCCTATATGGAAGTAACAGAACAAATGCTTCCCACTTGAAGTTGTCATCCTTCATATCAACCTGTCACAATTACTTGTTAATAACAAGTCATACAGTTATATTAACAACCTTCAATGCACCCATTAACAAGACATTTAACCATCGCATTACAGGGATTATAACAATAAAATCTGTCATTTTCATTCATTTTTATCAGAAACACAGCCTAAATTGTCAATAGCTTTCTCTTGGGTTGTAATATCATTTCCCAATTTTATTTTCATAAATTCAATTCATTCTTCATTATAAACTTAATTCACATCAATCAAAAAACTTTAAGTTCATATTCCCTTTTCAGCAACGCCTCACTTGGTCCTCATATTTCACACCTGGATGAGTGATATGGCCATGAACAGTTGCTCGTGGCCTCCCTCTCTTGCTGGTTTAGATCGCGATGATGAAGATGAATACTAATAATGGCGACATCTTCCTCTTCCCCTATTCCAGCTCTTGCCATCAAAGGTTGAAGAAGACAAACTAGCTCCCTTTTCTGTCAACTTCATTCACATCCTCTGGTCTTGTTAACAGCGTCTTTTGGTCTCCGCTCCAGTTGCCTCTTCAGTCTTCTACCCAATTTGCTCTCTTCGTCACAGAAGAAGGTCCTAGCTGAAGAACCCATCGAGTTATAGCTACCCTCGTGTAAATGAGCATGAGCAAAATCCTCTCTATTTTCTTCCACTTTTTTTCCCCAAATTGACAAGGGTATGTTAGTGATTTCACAATTAGATTTTCTTACTCTCAAGTCCCTTGGGACTTACTAATCATTTGATGATTTCACGGGACCTGTCAGTAATAGATTCCCTTACATGGGACTTGAGTGTAATTTTCCCATTTTTCTTTGGGAATATTAAATATACTACCTCTACTCTTTAATATATAATCTTGTTTAATTTTTATTTTAATCTTAAATATAAAACTTTAATTTATTTTAACTTTCATATTTATGTATTTTTTTTCAAGATTATCCTTCTAATAATAATAATTCTAACTAATACACTTGATTAGTAAGGATATTTTAGGAAAAACAACACATATTTATTACAAATAACTAACTTAACTTATTTTCTTAAACTCTTCAAATTAATTAACTAGCTCTTATAATTAGGACTAGAAGTAGTATTAGATAAGGAATAAGTCACTGAATCTTCATGGATCTAACAACAAATAATTAATTATTAAACATGGATCCCATGAGATGATATATATATACACACACACACACATATTATTTCTGGTCCTAAATATAAAATTTAGTTTGTAATGTATAATTATTTGGAATTTTCAAAATTTGCCATCTTTTATTGTCATTGACTGACATCTTTAAAGGATCTGTAACTATTATAAAACTTTATTTATTTGTCTGTGTTTTGTTCCTAAAAAAACCTAAAAACATAATCAATTAGACTATTAGAAGGTAGATGGTTGGGTTGATGTTTTTTTTTTTTATTTATAAAAAAGCTTAGGTGAGTTAGGTCCTAGAGACTCATCATAGTCAGGACATGTTTCTAAACTCAAAAAATACTTATAGAGGTATTTATATATCATCTACCAACAAGGTCTTCACATCGGCAGCGAGATTTAAACTCATGATCTTGTGAGTTATGAGTCAATTTTTTATCAATTGAACTAAGTACTCTTGTTGGCGGTGGGGTTGATGATGATTTAGAAGCAATTCATACGTTCAAGCTAACTAGCTAAGGAAATAGAGTTGGATATATGACATGTTCTCAGTAGGATTTTCGACAGTTTAAGATTTCATTACTTCACTTATAAGAGCTATCCTGCTATTCTGCTATTGACAAAAAGGTTGCCGTCAGAGTATATTTATATTGATCCATCAACTAAAAATATTTGAATTAACTTACTTTAAGTGATTTTATACCATATCAAGTAAATAATATAAAGTATGGGAGAAGTTTTATCACATAACATAAAAAAGAAGCCATTTTCCCTCACAGTGGATCTTTTTTTTTATTTTAATGATACATGTATTTTTTATTGAAGTCAATCTTATTCGAGACACTATTATGTATTAAATGTGACATGTTTTCTAATAGGGATTCCAACCTCTCACACAGGGGGTCTTATGGTCACACTTTGCACAACAAAAAAATTTAGATTTAATTTATTTCTTTATTTATCTTAAAGTTAATATAATCTCTGGTCTATTAAGTTTGCCTTCATTTTAGTTTTAGTCCTTCAAATTTCAAATTGTAGGTTTTGGTTCATCAAAAGGCAAAATAATCCAAGTTTTTATCGAATTATAAATATTAATATTTTAAATGAAAAAAAAAACTTGATGAACCAAAACCTATAGTTTAAGACTTGAACTAAAACTAAAATAAAAATAAACTTAAAAGACAAAAAATTTGTATTAACCATCTATCTTATTTAGCTTTGCTGATCTTGGAAGGTTAAGAAAAAAGGAACACATGGGGTGAGAATTCAGCGACCAATAGCAAACAGCCACGTCATGGAGACGGTTTTGCCCTGGAAATAAAAGCCCTATAGGGCGTTTAAAACGACAGCGTTTTATGTTACTATGGAGCGTGCGAATGGAGAGAGAGCCGTTGGCAAGTTTCTTTTACGCTTTGGACAGATGCCACCAGTCATACCGTTAAGAGAGCTGGCCCCATTTTCAATTTTTCGACCGTTGGAGATCCAAACGTTACAATTTCTCTCCCTCGACTCTTATCTCTCACACATTTCTCTTGCAGCCTCCTTCATAAGCCGCGAAGATCCTCTGATTCTTCTTTTAAAGCAGTAAAAGTCCTACACATAAAAACTGAACCTGAAAATGGCGGTGGCAGAGGAAAGCACCGGCGGGATCACGATGATCGACGAGACATACGAATTCTCGGCACCACGCTTCTTCGATTTTATGAAGGCGGAGTCCGAGGAGGACTCGAGAAGAGCAGAACTCTGGTTTGAAACTGCTCTTTCTTACGCACCTTCTCGTACGGTTCTTCCTCTTGCAACCTTTTTCCTATATTTTCTTTATTAATTCGTACCCTAAATGGTCTACTCCTGTTCTATTCCCGATCAAATTGGATTTTCTTGGAAGCTATAGGGTTTCAGTTTAAAATTGTTGCTTTTTGAGTCGGTTGTTGAATTACGTTAGCATTATTCATTTGAATTGAAGGCTGGTTGATAAATTCACTTGCGAGTTCTGTTCTGTTCCGGTTTGGTTTGTTCTTTGGTGCTTGTTTAGGTAGATGTTTTACAATGATGGCCTGATTTTTTTTTTTTTTTTTGGTTTTGCTTGCATTTATGGTTTGACTGAGGGCAGATCATCGAAAGCACGTGATGTTTTAAATTATTGAAACTGGCGCTTTCTGTCGATTAAATATTCGCGCCTAATTGTATTTTCATATATTACGTTTATCTATCACTTGAATGCACAACATTCTTGCGTTTTTGCTTTATCTTCCTGGTTTATGCTTGAGCTTCAGACCAGCTTTTTCTTTGTTTTCCTGAATTTCTTGTAAGGGAAAACTACTTGATTTTTTTGGGTGTTCTAATATGTTGCAGCATTCATGCCAAAAATCAAGACTGGAAGATCTATTACCGTTGAGAGCTTGTGCGATTTTAGCGAAGCTGACAAAATGCAGAAGGTACTGTTAGTTCCAATAGCGATACTCACAATAGCGGTACACACACAATATGATTTCTTTAAAAACACTGATTTAATATTGTTCTCACTAGACATCAGGGTCAGCCGATCTAAAACCTGATGGTAATAATAATTTGGATGTCAACATTCAACCTCAATGCACGAGTGCCAAAATAAAGGAAGAAGTACTTTCCAGTGAAGTCCAAGAGGAAAGAAGTCGCAATGATGATGATGATGGGGAAGACGCATGCTTAAGTGACGATAGTCTGCCACAACGCACGGTTACCAAACTGAAGGAAGAAGCACAATGTAGCGGCGATGAGGTAATATACATGACTCCTTTTCATGCGGTAAATTGTGATTCAGTTTTTATCGTTCTAATCTCATATCTGGTTTCCCAGTTCTCACTTTCTCCTCATAATTCATTTTCTCAGGTTTCTGGTGACAGAGGAAGAAGTCATCCACATGCTGATGAAGGGGAGTGTGCATGCATTGAAGTTGTTAAAGAAGCATGTACGCCCAATCCGTGTATAGCATCGCAGAAAAGAGTCATGACTGCGATTTCGAAGAAGCAAGAAACAGCTAGAAAGATAGCCGCTTTAGTTAAGAATCCATCAGCATTGAAGGCAAAAGCTCAGTTGCAGTCATCAGCTCTGAAGACAAAATTGCCACCATCAGCAATGAAGACAAAAGCTCAGTCCTCAACAATGAAGAGCGCCGGTGGGAGTTCCCACTTATCACAAGAAAATCAAGCTATTAAGAGGCAGAAATTGGAAGGAGGAAAAGCAAGACAGGTAACTGTCATCATTTTTGTCATTTTATTTTTAATTCTAATTTTATTTTTTGTTTATCATACGTGTATAGCTCATACATATTCATATCGAATAAGTGACAACACTTCTAATTTTGTGTCAGGCTTTTATTTAGAATTCTAAGCTCCCAAGTTTCTATCCAGATAGACAAAATAAATTTCTGAAATACTTAAAAGAGTTAGTAAGATTTCTCACTTGACAAACAAAATATTGGGGTGTTGTCACTATATTTAGCACGCACCTCCTTGAAAACGAGCTGCTGTGCCCATTTTTCTTTCTCAGCAACTCAGTATCTGGATCTAATAAGAAATGTCTGCGATTAGATCTTTTGAACTGCAATGATTGGTTTTTTTATCATTCCTCCTCTCTTTCCGCTTCCTTAGGGAAGTGTTATTTGAAAGTAGATAGGTTATGACGAGAGTTGGCTGCTTAGGCTTCTTTTGCATTTAATCCTAGTCTTTCAGAATCTTTCCAATGAACTATTTAACTCTAGTTGCAGTAGACTAGGCTATGACATCCGGGTCGTTCCTGAATTACTTTCTCATGTTTCGACACCCTTGGCATTGTATGGTAATATACTAAAAACTATCCAAAAAACTAAAAAGATAATAATGACGCTTAATTTTCTCTACGAATTTTCAGATTTTGCACGTTAAACCTCAAAATTTGCCGCACAAGTCAAAACTGAGTTCAGCCACTAGCAGTGCTAGTATCTCTTCAAATGCTAGCAAAACTAACAGGGAAGATAGAAAGGTTGGTTTGTCTGATCCATTAATGCTGTATAACCTTTTTTTTTTTTTTTGGTGCTGAACTTTGCATTAAAAGCCCATGAACTTTGGATGAAGGTTTATGTTCGTGAAATGCCAACACCAGCGTCAGTACCATTTATATCAATGGCAGAAATGATGAGAAAATTCCATTCAAGCACCAGAGACTTGTCTTTGCCAAATGCCAACACCGGTCATTCTCATGTAATACATAGATCCTGTTATGATATCCTCCACTATAATTTGAATTCTTTCTTTTGTTTTTTTCCCTTTGGTTAAATACTTTTGACTAATTCAGGGAGATGCCGGTTCCATGATCCAGCCGAAACCAAAACTCACATTGACCAGGCCTAAAGAACCGGAATTTGAGACTGCTCAACGAGCCCGGTCGGTCAAAGTGAAGAGCACCGCCGAGCTCGAGGAAGAGATGATGGCTAAAATGCCAAAATTCAAGGCTCGACCCCTAAATAAGAAGGTACATAACCTCAACTTTTCAAATCCTAACTTCAACATCAATAATAACATGATAAATGGTCCTGATCAGTTACTTTGTAAAATCGTAAGATGTTATTTAGTTCTAGTGAGTAACCTTGAAACATTATCATTATCTGTGAAGTCCTAAAACAATTTTTTAACTCTTATTTTTACACTCGAATTTTGCCAAGTCTTGAACAATGTATAGTTCATGATTACCTTTGTCTGCGATTTGGCATTTCAGATTTTGCAAGCTCCTACTGTGCGTATTGTATCAAGAAGTACACCCCAACCACCAGAGTTCAAGGTGACTTGCACTTTCCCATTGAGAACTGATACTTTAAGCAAATTAGCCATAATGTTGAATTAAGCAACTTTTCTTTTCAGGAATTTCATCTAGAAACAGCAGCTAGGGCCATTCAGCATGCAGATTCAGCCTCAGTGGCTTCAGGAAAATCGTCACATCAGGTATTTTGTTGAAGCCGATATCAACCCTTTGGGTCACTACTTTTTTTCTTAAAAGAAGTTTGGATCACTACTCAACAATTAGTCAATGTGTTTCCATTCTGCGAATCAGGAACCATGGAAGCCTCATCTCACGGAGCCTAAAACGCCACTGCTCCAAACATCACTAAGGGCCCGCCCACCTAAGGTGAAAAGTTCACTGGAATTAGAGCAGGAGGAGCTTGAAAAGATTCCTAAATTTAAAGCCAGGCCCCTAAATAAGAAGGTAATTTTGTTAATTTTTTATGTTATAAACTGAGCTTCATTCCATCATTCAGCTAACCCAAGAACATATTCCGTTTATTAGATTTTTGAGAGTAAAGGAGATATTGGAATTTTTTGCCATACCAAGAAACTTGTCACTCAACCACGAGAATTTCATTTTGCAACAAATGAAAGGATTCCTCCACCTTCTGTTGTAGTAGATCTATTTGACAAGGTAATTTGAAATCAATTTTGAACGTAACAGTGTAATGTGAAATAAATTTTGGACTTTTCCCGTAAAACTAAAATATTAATGTCACCATTTTCTGGTTTTGCAGTTATCTTTGAATTCTGAACCTGCACATAAAAACCCAATTCCAACAAATACAATCCCAAATCCATTTCATCTCTACACGGAGGTTGGTTCATTTCTTTCCGTTTCATCTAAAGTGCAGTAATTGGATGGTTTTTAGGAAATTTTTTCCCCCAACATACTTCTTATTTGTCAGGAAAGAGGTGCTGAGAAAGAGAAGAGACTTCTCATGGAACTTCAAATGAAACAGTTGGAAGAGGAAAGAGCCAGAGTTCGCAAGGCGAATCCGTACCCTTACACTACTGACTATCCTGTGGTACTAATTGCTAATTCTTGGCTCGATTTGATTCTAATTGTTGAATGAAATAACTGTTATCGATATAAATTTACTAATATTACATACAGATCCCACCAAAACCGGAACCCAAGCCATGTACCAAAGCAGAGCCATTCCAACTAGAGAGTCTGGTAAGACATGAGGAAGAGATGGAGAGGGAAATGGAAGAAAGGCTTAGAAAAGAGAGAGAAGAGGCCGAAATGAGAATTTTCAGAGCGCAGCCAATCTTACAAGAGTAAGCACTTTGCATTGAAAAAGTTTTTTTTTTTTTCGTTTGCATGTGTTGCCGAAGAAATAAGTACAAGTGAATTAAATTCTTCCTCTTTGAATGTTTATCTTGTGCAGGGACCCTATCCCAGTTCCTGAGAAGGTTCGCAAACCCCTTACACAAGTTCAGGAGTTCAGCCTGCATGTGAATGAGCGAGCAGTGGATAGAGCAGAATTTGATCAAAGGGCAAGTACTTTTATTCTTCAATGGGAATATCTTCATTGCAAATGGGAAAAGTTGTTCTTCAATGAATGAGTTAGAATATATGATTTGGACAATACTAAGAGTTTATAGTTGTTGTACAGATCAAGGAGAAGGAAATGATGTACAAGCGGTATAGGGAGGAGAGTGAGACTGCAAGAATGGTATTCCACTACTCTTTCTTTACTATAAATGCCAATGCGAATATATTTATAAATATAAATATAAATTTCACATTTTGACTGCAAATATGCAGATTGAGGAAGAGAAGGCGTTAAAACAGTTGAGACGGACAATGGTTCCCCATGCTAGACCAGTTCCTAATTTTGAGCATCCATTTATTCCCCAAAAGTATGATCAATGATATAACCATCTCTCCCCTTTGATTATTATACTTGCTCAAAAGCACTCCTGATGCCAAACTTGCGTGTGAACAGGTCGGTTAAAGAGGCAACGAAGGCAAAGTCACCAAACTTGCGTGTAATACACAGAAAAGAGAGACGAAAGATTTTAAATGGGACAGTGGCTTCTAGTCCTGCTGCCAGATTAAGATGATTTATTAGGGTTGCGAGCGTTCAAGAACTCCTGAACCCATCTGACACACTTCTTGTGTACATTTGTCCGGAAAGAATCATGTAAAATGTCAATTAAATCAATATCAATTCTTTTGTAATGATGATGTAAGATCAAAAAACATATTGATTCTGAAAACATGTATTGTTTTCCTCGCCAACTCAGACAAATCATATTACTATGGAGCAGCAGAGGAATAATGCACATATAGGGTCACCACGTTACATTTTAATTTAAAACCTCACATCAAAACCTTACACCTTGAGACGTGTCTTTCTACTTGAAACAAGAATCCAACGTAAAATGACTTGAAATTATAGGTCCTTCTACTCCCCCCCATTGCATGCCGGAGAGAAACTTGTTTTTGGAACTTGCACTGTGTTCTTTTATGAGTTATTTTTCATATGTGGAATTAAAAACATACAATTAAACGAAAGTATTCTTGGAAAATAAATTTTATTTGGGACAGAGGGCCAAAAAAGTTATTTGGGGTCAGAATTAAAAATCCCAACTGCCACATTAGTTAGTTATTTGCTTCATACATACGGTATCTGAAATCAGAAAGGGCATCTCATAAACATCTTTAACATGAACGAAGTGAGAAATCAGAGATCATGGGAGTACTCTCTTATTATTGTATTGACGCCACAGTATCAATACAGTTATACAAAAATTAATTTTTTTTATAAATAAACCTTGACCATTAAAAAATTACACAACTTTTTAATTCGTAAATTTATCAATTTTTTTTTTTGCCATCCGTAAATTCATCACTTTAAAATGTTATGATCATTACCTCATTTAATGACAAAACATTCAACAATTATAGCGTCCCCTTTATAAAACATTTAATGACAAAGCATGCATATGCTTCAAAATCCTAATTATGATACGTATCCACATGAATAATCCCAAAGAAAAAGAGACCGCGACTGTGATGACGCCATGCACAAATCCCCTCTATATAATAATTATTCTCGAAAATGTATCTAAATTTCTGTGAGATATATAATCTTTTAGGCTTCAAAGATAACATGTTTCTATAATTTATGCTGTATATTCACTTCCTTGAGAATGCAACTAGAATTGACGATCGGTCACTTTATATGTACAGGTAGTTCGGCCATCCTCGACATCAAAACGGTCTGTTCAAGCCTGACTATATTTTCTCCTTCCTCCTAAATGCCAGAATCTGAAACAGGAGAAAGAGGATCAGCCAGCCATTACACATGTAGTGAAAACATCACATATCTCCGACGGGCATCAAATTGGAACCTTTATATCCACACACACATATATATGCATTGGGAGGAAAAAATACAAAAAAGAATGCAACTATATATGAAAATCATGTTACGTCCCCCCCCCCCCCAAAAAAAAAAAAACAGAGAGGTTACAGGGGATATAAACCTCATCCAAATCATCAACTTCTTGCTCTCTTGTGTCTTTTAATCCATTACATTCTTTCACTTTTTAAAATATAGAGAAGTTAGATTGCCCTGAATAGTGAATACTCACCAGGTGCTCCATTTTAGACGTGAATTTGGACTTGAGCCCCGCCAAAGTTTCATGTACTTGCAAAATTTCCAGTTCATCTTTGCAGGGATCTAAAACCAGTGTGGTGAGCTCGTCATTGTGCAAGGTTGAAGCCTCATCGGCTGACTTATCACAGATGATGCTGCAGCATCCTTTAACGGCCAATATCTCAATTTCTTCAGCTGGCAATAGGGTCTGCTGAGCAATATACTGCGCAAAAATGAAGCAACAAGAGAGAAGTCTAGGAAATCAAAAGCTTTATCTTTGGAGTAAACTTATGATTGGATCACAAGAATTGATAAAAAGACTAACATGCAACCGATTTGCTATTTTAAGGGAACCGGTGCACTTACTTTCAGAGGCCAAGTTACATAAGCCTGACAATCTTGAGATCAAATTGTTAATTTACTCCATTATTCTATAGCCTACGCCTCAAATTGGAATGGTGAAGGTATCCAACAAACAACACAAAAATTGCAACCCAAATTTAAAAAAAAAAAAAAAATTTACATTTTTCAATCCAAAAAGTTGATACTTATTATATGAACTAATAAATTAGGGGAAATATTCAGATCAAAGTGGCCAACAAAGGTACTTTTGTCACAACTATGATATGAAACAGTAGAGGAAAAGAGACATCTCACTTCGCACAGGTGCTTGACGGACAGAGTTGGCCGACAGCAAAGGTGTGGCTGCTGCAAACTTGGTATACTTTCTTTGTCCAAGGAAACAAGCATAAGATGGATGTCATACTGTGAGCAAGAATATTAGAGTTAATTTATTGGATTGAAGCAAAACAACAAAAGAATCCAGGAGCAAAACGTGTCACCCATGTATACACTAACAAGAGACAAAAAAACATGCAGATAACAACATCCTATACCTCATCTGTGTTTTCATCTAAGCTTCTTAAATAATCAACAAACTTAGACACGCGACTACCGCGAGCATTCTTGCTAGAGCTGCCGCTGCCACTGCCATGTCGAGTGTGGCTCCTAAAACCACCCCTTCCCCAAGTAAGCTTCTGAGGTTTTGACAGATGCCTTGAAGAAATTCCTCGATTTTCTCTGATTATATCAACATCACTTTCTATAAAGCCACCATCAGGGCTTGCCATTGATGAGGAAGGTTGGGAGGGACGAACTCTTGTCCCTCTCTTTCGCTTTTTCTTTGGTTCTGCACTCCGCTCATCAGTGGAGGATGAGTCTTTCTCTCCATTATTTTCATTTTCCTCTTCATTGTCTTCTGATCCTTGATCAATTCCATGGTTTTGTCTCCTACCAACATTCCTATTATTGCGCTGTGACCTGGTGACAAATGCACCTGGTGGTGTATCCTTATTACGCCTCTTAACCAGTGCTTCAGATTGCCGCTGAACCACTTTTGCAATTGAAGCTTGAATCTGTCAATAAAGCTATTAAATGACACACCAGGAACAAAAGTAATGTTGACTAAGGATTTGATAATTAGAGAATGCTAGCAAAGATTACACTTCACTACTTTTCACTTTTCAGAATGCACGAGGATAACCACGGCAGAAATTTATATATATTAAAATGAGAAAGGTATTTCAAAGATAACATGTCACCCAGGTTCTCAACAACTCAATATCAATAATCAATAAATGAATAAAATTTGCCAACAAGTGTTTGAGGAAAAGAAATTACAATAAAGGTGATTAACAAGACTAACTTTTGTTGACTAGGAGTAAAACCAAGTCAGATAAACTTGAGACTACAGAAGGCCTCACTAGTCTAACCAGTGAACACACATCTAGAAGGTGAACCCATGCTTTAACAAGTTTGTTCAAAAAAAATATTCACCTGCTTATTGCGGTTCTTCTCCTCTTCACGAAATTCAAGCTCCTAGAATGAGACAATCAAAAGTATTGCTATTGATATTTAAGTAAAGATTCATGCATGTGCAGTAGAGATGGAGAAATAAACAATAAACAAGTCAAGTTATACCTCTTCCTCATACTTCTCAATGTCTGGATATAGAGCAGCAATTAGAGAATCATAGTTTGGATCATCTCTCAAGGAACGACGACTGGCACAATGTGTGCGGCAAGCTGGGCATTCATTATTCCTGAGACAACACAAAAATAATAAATCTGATCCCACACAGAAATCGCAACCAGAAAGCTCAATGAGAAGCAAGCCAAAAACCTAGATTCCAACTATCAGCAGTATATCAAACAGAAGCAAAAACACTGATGGCTTCTTGTGTTTTACCCTAGTCTCATTGACTTGTCAATGCATTCCCTGCAAAACCGGTGCAAGCATTCCATGACGGTCCGTGTTTTCTTGATAATACCTGTTTAAGCACTTAGAGTAGTTGGTTATTTCTAACACAGAGAAAACATTTGCCAGAAATCAAGCATGAATTGGGGGCTGCAGGTCACAAAAATTTCCTGCACAATGAAATGCAGAACCTAGCAAAGTCATCTTTAAAAACAGCAGTAGGAGATAATATTACTGTTAGTATTTGACCACTTTATCTAGAGTGAAAAAAGGGCCCATACTAAATAAACTAGCATCCCAATTACAGACATGAGCAGCCAGTGTTTTTTTCACTTGTCAGTAATTGAGGTCTTCTGGATTTCCCTTTCTATAAACGCTATTTAGTGTGGGTGAAAAAGATTTAGGTATAGCACAACCAAGAGCCTAATAATCCACTTGGAAATTTGAGCTAACTGGCATTTATATTTTGCACAACGAAGTTTACATTTTCTAGGTTCCAGATGTTACTTGATAGGACATCAGGGACTCCAGAAAAGGAAGACAGAAGTAATGCTTAAATCACAGTGGAGACTTCTCCTTCACAGAAAGGAAGGTTTGAAAAACAAAGGATGGTATCATTAGTAAGAAGTTCCATTACACCATAAGTTCCTGGATTTCAACACTATCAGGATTCCTCCTTCCATTTCTACCACAATAGGTTAATCCATGAAATCAGGGTCAGTTGATTCCTGCCCCTAAACTTTGAATTGTTCATGTTTCACCGAATACCCTTTTATCTTTAACAAAAATATTTCATGCAAAAATAATATGGTAGTCCTTTGCAGAACTGAAGTAATATATAATTGTAAATGGGCGTAAACGAGAATGGAAAAAGTGGGGAAAATCTTCCATATACAATAAAGAAAAACTCACAGATTGTTTGTTGGTTTTGCTTTAGGAGGGGACAGGGTAGGACTTACTCATTTGATTTTAGCTAGTACCTGAATAACTAATTGAGAGGTTTCACATTTTGGTCCCCAAAAAAAAAAAAAAAAAGAATTGAGAGGTTTCACAGATTTTGTTAAATGAGGCATGTATATTAACAATTCATCTTTTCAAACTATTATTGAATACAATATTTCGACAATTTAGCTTAGTACACATAATAAATGTAACAATGGTTTGAAACTTCAGATAAGAGAAGAAGAAGCATAAAAAATTTAACTTTAAAGTCCAAATCTAAAACATTGACAACAATAGAAAATATAACACTAATTTGTGATCACTATAGTATCAGCATTTGACATAAACATTAATTATTTGATTCAATTGTTGAGAAAGCAAGATTTCTACGATTTGAAACGAGTGCCATCAAAGATAGAACTGATCAGAGGCAGGAAAGCAATCCTAACTCCTATGTCCTAGCCTATAGCTCAGAATATAATTTGACTATAACAAAAAAAAATCACACGATTTAGCTGCCCAATTATGTCATTCGAGAGGGTAAAAAACTTTACCGAGGCAAATTGGACATTGGACATCTTTACGAATTTCCAGAAGTTCGACAAACACAAATCTGCGGAAGAAAAAAATGAACATAAACTTGAGAGGCCATTACTTCGTGAGGTATTTGCATCAGCATATCTACAAGGACCTGAGTCTTGATAGGAAAAATATAAATATATATATATATATATATATAGAGAGAGAGAGAGAGAGAGTAGTAGTAACAACAATAGCACAATAACAAAATATCCAAAATCTTAAACACAGAAGATAAGCCTCGGCTTCTTAAAGTAAATCTCAAATTGACTTAATGCATGTGCCCATCAATTCTGCTGTCACAAATATGTTGACTCCCTTCATAACTAATGAAATAGAGTATTGAGTAATACAAAATAAGATATCAGAATAAAATGTTCACCGCGCTCCTTGGTCATCTAAAGATGGTGGTAGAATGAAATTTCACAATTCATTTATAGCTTCTACAAAGTGACAAAAAATTAGACAGGGTAGAAAAGATATTTGTTTCAAACTATAGTTACAGTCTCGTAGATAATCAATGCCAATTTTTTTTGTGATAGATAGTTATCATCCTTCCTATAATTGCAATTTACCAATTGCTTTCTTGACCTTCTTGCATCCAATATGATATGATCCTTAGAAAGACTGATAACAATTATTAATAAAGAAATCTTGATTTATATGTATTCTCTATAATGGAAGTGCCATGGTGATTTTATTACGCTTATAGTGGTTGTGCAAGACTAATGCCTTTGCTAGCAAGAAGCTAAGATTTTCTTCTTCTTCTTTTTTGGCCAGAAAAAGGTTAAGAATATTGAAACTTGTTATGTGAACAAAACTTGATCCGGCCTCCAAAATTATTGTCGGAAGCATGACAGCACCATGTTATTCTAGACCGTCAAATCCTTTTACAGCATGCAAATCATTTGCGATATTTTCCCAATATCAAGAGTGAAAGAGGATGTACACTGATAAATGTGTTCAATATATCTGTTACAGTCAAACTCATCAGGTTTTTTTGCCAGCTGAATTTTAGTCATGCGAAGAATTACCAGTCACGTGGAGAGTTTATCAAAGGCACTTCTCCAGCATGTTTATAGATTATCTAATTCCCACCAAGCATCATATTTATAAATCATAACAAGAGAGAAAGAAGTTATCCAAATCGGTTGCTCTATGTAACGGAACAATATAGTACAGATAAGCCATATCTAATACCTGGTGGATATCATTTTCATTCTTTTCTTAAGCTTATTTAAATAAGGAAAAAGATCCAACATTTGAATGCTCTGAAAAACCTGCAAGACCATGAACAATATGGCCTCTACGGTACAAGCGATGATCAGCCTGTATAAGCTACAACAGCAACATATATTTGATCACCAGTTGCAAGAACTTCAACACTTGCTTTCTGATTTGGTGGATGTACACCAGTCATCAAACCTTTAACTCACGCAAACTGCCTAACACATACTAATATGCTTTTTTGTCATATGTGAACCTTTGCGGTCACCGTTCAATATTATGATTAAGTATCCAATTATTATTAATTCAAAGTCATTACGGAACTACTAACATCCATTGAACATGAAAGACAGATTTCTTTTTCAAGGAAGACAGCAATACCTAATTATCAAACTATCAGAAGTTTAAAAGAATCCCAGGTCCTAAACTCGGGATTATTCATAATTTAGACCATTTCTACCATAGCAAGTGACGATCACGGAGTTTCAGTAAAATTTAGCTCCGAATCTTTTTCATACAAATCAGTATAAATTAGATTTGACAACTCGATGCCCGCTAACGCACATCGCTAAAAACTCGATCCAAGCTGGAAGGCTAAGACTGCTCGTGACTGCGTCATTACGCACTCAGTCACTGGTTCTTCCAACACTCCATGAATCGAAAGGCTATGAAATAACACTAAAATGTAGAATTCACGCCATAGACAGGGTAACAAAAATCTATGCGGAAAAAAAAATAACTTTCGTTCACTGAGGAACGAATGACAGAGTTTCGAGCATAAACAAGACGAAAAGCCAGGCATGCAAACGACATATAACGAATCAGATTAGGGAGAACCAAAGCATACAGACGTCGCAACTTAAATGACTTGAACTGTCACTACCCCCTTCAACAGAGAAGGAAATCCAGTGCTACACAAAATGTAAGCGTTCGAATTCAACAAAAGAAGAGTAGAAACTACAAAATTCACCCCCAGCCACCGCCCGAAACAGATATATACGATCAAAACGTGAAATCTAGAAGCACATACAAGTGTGGAAGAATATGAGCAATGCGTGAGAGAGAAAGAGAAAGAGAGAGTATACTCAGGTTTCTCTTCGGTTTCAGAAGATGGGCTTTCCTCAGAATCTGGCAAGACAAACAAAAACTTCAGAACTCGCGGGATCGCGAAGCCAGACCAAAACCCAGCTGACAAAAACCAATTTGGCACTGTACAAACGTATAATCACAAAGCAAGATGAATAAGGAAAAAAAATTATACGTAACCCTCTGCTTTCTCCTCCTTATCCTGCTCTTGCTCGTTCTGTTGTCCTTCTTCTTCCCCTTCACCAAGCTCCCCTTGCTCATCTTCCTCTGCCCTCTTTTCCTCGCCTTGTAGCTCTCGGTCCCGATGAGATTGCTTCGCATGGCGGTGGTTGTAAAGTTCTGAGACCTCTCCATCGTCCGTAGACTCTGGCAAAGACCGCTTCTGCGCAGGCATTGGTGCTTCAGAAAGAGGGATTGGTAAAATGCTCACTCACTGCTCTATATATATGCTTGTGAAACAGATGAGAGAAGGAGAGAGAGCGAGAGAAAGCGAACTACAACGAAGAAGAGGAAGAGGAAGAAGAATCAAGATGAGATTTTGGGTTGTTGTTTTCTCGCTTGTGTGATTTTTTTTACTTTGCGTATTATTATATAACGAAGGGAAGTAAGAAAGAGAGGAGCTCGGAATCAGATGTTACGGCAAGAAAAGGATGCACATGGATGGTGGCTCGGTGGGAAGGACTGAACTGGACGGCCAATTGTCTGTCGAGGGTGTTTCTGTCACTGCATTCTAACCTCGCCTGGCTTTGCCCTCTCACGCATATTCATATGCGTACATGCTTGATTAATTTAAATAAATTTAAAAAATAAATTAGTTAACTCTCCAATTTGTAAGTTGTGTAAATTAGTTTGAAAAAATTAATGCATAAAAAATACATTAAAATATTATTCCTCCGGTCCTTATTATAAGACCCAATTTGATTTTTTATTTGGTCCTAATTATAAGACCCAATTCATTTTCTCTTTTATATTTATGCATTTTTTTCCAAGATAATCCTTCTAATAATGATAGTTTTAGCTAATATACTTAATTAGCAAGGATATTTTAGGAATAACAACACTTATTTATTATAAATAACCAATTTAACTTACTTCCTTAATCTCCTCAAATAAGTCAATTGGGTCTTATAATTAGGACCGGAGGAGTATATTTAGGAATGAAGTTAATTCTTTTGACTAACTCATATATTTCAGAAATAAAAAAGTACCCCCGGTTCTCTTTATAAAGAGAAAGAAGATGTTTTTTAGTCTATTTATAAGATACTCGGAAGAATTTTTTGTCTGAATGTGTAATTTTACCTTTCATTTATTATTGTGTTGTTTTTGATTATATGAAGTATAATGTATATTAAATAGGGATAAAATTAAAAAAAATTATTAAATTTTAAATGAAAGTTAAGGAAGTTCAATGTTTCCTTGGTCTGTGTAAAATATGTTGGAAGTAACTTATAAATAGGAACTAGATAAGTATTATCTTATCTTACTCATCTGGTACTTAATATAGTATCTAATTATGGAATTGATTTAGTTTTAAATATAAGACATAATTTTTTTTATATTTATCAATTTTTTTAAATTATTTTTATTGATATTCATTCAATCATAATAAAGTAGAAGAGGAATGGAGGATATTAAAGAAGATGATTATGATGTTTTTAAAAAAAAATCTCACGTAACTAACTTACCTAACTTTCTTAATCTAATTAAATAGATTTTAAGTTAACTACAGGAGTAATGTATCAATATCTCTGGTTCTCCTTTCTGTCTTCACTCGTATAGAAGCTTCTCTTCTTGATACAAATTCAGAAACTTCTCATCTTTGTATCTTTGTAGGACATGAAAAGAACTTTTCTATCCCTATTGCCTATTTATTTCTTAAAGATTAAATTGTGAGAGGAGAAAAGTATTCGGAGAATTAGCCAAAAAAATTCAATTAAAAATTTTATTAATAAAAATAAAGGTTTCTATATTTTCTGTTCTTCAAGTTTGTCATCATTTTAATTTTGGTCTTTTAAGTTTCAAATAATAGATTTTAATCCCTCAAAAAGCAAAATAGTCTAAGTTTTTATTGAATTATAAAGACTAATGTTTTAAATAAGAAAAAACTCGAAGGACCAAAACCTATATTTTAAAATTTTAAGGACAAAAATAAATCGGGAACAAATTTAAAAAACTAAAAATTATATTAATCATTAAAAAAGATTTATATCATGGTACTTTGTTTACACAAAATTTACAGAATATTAATACTTTTGGTATACAAGATCTATCAAATCCTTTTCACTAATAAAATTTCCAACACATTCAACAATATTTCTTTCTGCACTATGATTTATATTACTGTACACATAACTGCTTTCATGTAATTTTTATTGTGTTGCAATTTTATTGAGAAATTATAATAAATACATTCAAAATGTATCTAGGTACCTTAATAGCCTAAAAATATTGACATATTTTCTTGGCTCTATTTGTAATAGTTTGTTGTATAAAATGAGATCTGATTAGCAATTATTATTAGCTGCTCATCATTGTCTACACTGTGTTCAGGATTTTAATTTCTTACATCCACGCAAGAGAATAAATCTCCAAAAAAAAAAAATTAATACAGACTTAATTAGTTTGACTTAAACGAACCTGACATTTCCGTTAACACTCTATATTTAGTCCATTTTGTCCATCTGTTAAGAATTCAATATTGGCGATAACTTTTTATGGCATGTAAATGATGCAACTCTAAATAGTTTTTATTATATAAATACTACTCCTTTAGTCTTAAATATAAGATTCTCATATATAAATATCAAACCCTTATACATACTAATATGAAGGTATTATATTTAGGATCGGAGGAGTACTAACTTAACTTCTTTCCTTAATCTTCTCAAATTAGTCAACTAGTTCTTATAATTAGGACCGAAGGTAGTAATTAATAACGAAGCTCTATGTAATAATTGAGTCATCAACATAATTATCTATCTGGTCTCAATTTTTGCTAAGAAATGGAGAGAATACAACAATTTAACACTCAAAATTTGCAGCAACATTATTCGTAACCTGAGTTGAAGTACAACTCTTTCAAAAATTTAAACTTAGATTGCAATTTTTCAATTTATAGCCTGAGATATCCTCTAAAAATTGTAAATAATCTTAATTATGCAAGAAATAATAATAAATCGTGTAATAATATATTAAACCTCTTTGTCTTCTCGTGTAGAAAGTTTAGTTTATTTATTGCTTGAATATTATAAGAGGATGGGAATTTCTAAGATGTCTTGTATTTAGGTCAATATATAGGAGTGATAACCGTTATTAAAAATAAAACGAGTTGTAAGTAAGGGGTTTATTTATTATTACGAGAAAAAGAAACCAGGGAACCCCTATAAAATACAAAATGCGTATCTAACCAAAAAAAAAACTAATTATAAATAGTATGACTTAAATTAAAGTTTAGTTGACAAAAAAAAAAGACTTAAATTAAAGTTAAGGCTTAGAGGTCATGTCTTTGGTATCACGACGTCAAAATTATATTACCTCCGGTCCTAATTATAAGAGCTAATTGATTAATTTGAGAAGATTAAAAAAATAAGTTAAGTTAATTATTTATAATAAGTATGTATTGTCTTTCCTAAAATATCCTTACTAATCAAATTTATTAGCTAGAACTACTATTTTAGAGGGACTATCTTAGAAAAGAATACATAAATATGAGGAACAAAATGGATTGAGGTCTTATAATTAAGATTAAAATAAAACTCAAACCCAGATTTTATATTAAGGCCTGGAGGTAGTAATATCTTTATTATCTGTAGGGAACATACGAACTGATTTGGTAGGTGGTATAAAATAAAGTTTAATGCCATATAAATGTGTTGTACTACAAAATAATAATAGCATTTACTTTGGTAAACCATTGTATAAATTTAGGTACAACGAAGACAGGCAAAAAAAAAAAAAAGTCCAACGAAGATTATGCTCTTCATTTTTCAACTAAGACGTACTTTTGCTTAAAACATATAAACACAACATATCAGCCCCTCATTAATTTTGTTAAAATTATATTTTATTTTAAATGTTATTAACCATATTTTGTTCTTTTCGCTCTTCCCTTCTCCCATTTATTCTTTTCTCTTGAGGGCAAGATAAGACCAATTTTTTTAATGAAAAAAGGTCACTAAAACACCCTAAAAATACTAAAAAGTAAGTGAAAGTAGGTGAATTTTAAAATTTCAACTCAGATCTAGGTACCTTTTTGAAATTTTTAAATTTTGTAAAATTATATAAATACCTTTTATTATGTTTTTTAAATATTGTCAACTCAGCACTTTCGGCCATCGGAGCTCCGGCACCGGTGACCCTGCTAGTGGCCAGCCACCAGAGCTCTGGCGACATATCACCGAAACTCCGATAACCGGTCATTAGAGCTCTGGTAACTACTCTTTCTAATGTATTGATTACTCTTTTTTAGTTATTAACTATATTTTTTTTAAAACTCTGGTGACCACTATTATTTAGCTACTGACTACTTTAGTATTATGACTGACTACTTTTATTTTTAAAATTTTGGTGACTACTCTTATTTAGTTATTGACTACTCTAGTTTTGCTATCGACTACTTTTGTTTCAAAAATTCAAAAAATACATTAAGTGTTGTTGGAGATTTGGTGATTACTTTTTGTTTAGTTATTTACTATTCTTATATAGTTAATAGTTATATAAAAGTAGTCACCAGAACTTTGAAAACAAAAATAGTCAATAGTTAAATTAGAGTAGTCAATAGTTATATGAAAGTAGTTACTAAGAGTAAAAACAGTGTTGTTATTTCACAAGATTTAAAAATTTCAAAATAATATTTGGGGTCTGATTTGAAATTTTAAAATTTAGCTACCCTTATTTGTCCTTTAGTATTTTTGAGGATATTTTAGTGTTTTTTTCTCTTTTTTAATAACGTGATATATTATTTTAAAAGTTAATATAATATTTAGTTCTTCATGTTTACTCTTATTTTGGTTTTGATCCCTCAATAGGCAAAATTGTTTAAGTTTTTATTAAATCATAAGAACTAATATTTTAGATGAAAACAAACTTAAGGGATCAAAATCTATAGTTTGAAATTTAAAGGACCAAAATCAAAATAAGAACAAACTTAAAGAGCTAAAATTTATATTAACCTTAGTTGTAAACATAAGATCACCATTTTTTTTTAATAAAAAAAACTACAAGATGCATAGTATGAATAACGAATTCGATACCATAGATCCAATAAAAGGCTACTTTGTAATTGCAATTGAATCTTTCAAACAAAGCATATCGATTTATGTGAAACTCATAAAGTAGTTATAAGCACTTGTTGCAAACAGCTCCAAGCAAGCTCAAAAACATACAAACGAAAGAAACTAACTTACATAACCGATACTGAAATGACAAGGCGAAGTGTTATTTTATTAGGGCTACCGAGATCACACTTGTTGCTAGATGCAGTTGGTTGGGGATGAAAGATTATAAAATCTTCAATACTTGTGCCAAAAGAAAAATTCTTCAATGTTCTTCGCATCAACACTAACCTTTTTTTTTTTTTTGGCACACCATCAACACTAACTTTAAGCAATGTTATTTGAAATAGAAGCGTGGTGTCCCCCTGAAGATGAACAAATATTATGGGCGGACCTCAAAAGCAAATGAATTGACAAATAAAGGACCTACTTCAGAATTCGCAAATTTTTTTCTCTGAGCCTTATTTCATCTAGTCATGTCCAATTCAGGTCCTTTTTCCTAATAAATTTGCTGATTAGGCCATTTTCCCTATATTATGCAATCTAATGCTGTCAGAATTAGCGCGAAAGTGTGGGAGCATGAGAGCAATATGACATTCGGGGCTGACCTCAAGATAACGACTATTTCATTTGTTTATAATGATGCTTGTTTATGGAAACCTAGCTTCGTGCGCGAGTCAAACATGTGAGGATCGAGGCACCACTGCATTCATTGCATGGCAATCCAGGTACAACAGATAACATTTTCTGAATTTGGAAAAATATAACGTACGTGAAGTGCAGTGCTACTTTTCATCCCAATTATTTGATAGGAATCAGCAGAAAATATTCCATATACATATATAGCAAATATTTGACAATTGAAACCATTACTCGCCTTTATATCGGACCGGAAGGAGACAATAAAATAAGACTTTCCTGGGGACATAGAGCACAATCCAACCAAACTTCAACCGAGAAAGCCACCGGTTTTTAATTATTTCAATAAGAGGGCTGGAAACTACACGGCTCAAAAGCTCCATGTCACGAACAATAAAATTACAGGTTCACAACACTATTATCTAAATTTCAAGTCTGCAAATCTTTCGAAAATCTCGGCCACTATCTTTCGTATCCAAAATTTATTCTATTCAGAGGGACTAACCTAACTGTCCCATATATATTTTGTCATCATTATCTGTGTCTTAACCACCTCCAGATCCGTATTTCTTTCCAAAGAGAATGAGCTGGAGCTTGTCATAACCAGCAAGAACACCAGCGCCTGCAACAGCACGTAGAATGTTTGCACCAGCACCTTTGAAGAGTGACTTGGCACCCTCTTTCTTGATGATTGTCCGGAAGGCATGGAGAGAGCTATCGTATTTCACAGCTTCACCAGAAGTCATCATCATCCTTCTCCGCACTGTGTCAATTGGGTAAGACGCCAAACCAGCACCTATTGTGATCCCCCATCCCAAAAGGAAACTAGCGAAGAAACTATCCTGGCAACAAGAGTGAGGCATGTGTAAGAAAGCATAGACAGAATATCATTCCAAAAAGTTGGCGGGGGGGTCAGTCAACATTTGCAATAGCAATAAGAGACATATTCGCATGTTGAATAAGGACAGCAACAGCAAATTGCCTCGCTTTCAAAACTGTCGGAGGCACATCATTACCTGGCCTCTGACAATAAAATTCAAGAACAGGGTCACTGAAATCAAAAGTGCAATAGGACAGGTGTAGCCAAAGCTAAGTCAATTCAACCAACTTGTTATAGCCTGGGTATTCATGCATAAAATGCAAAGAAAATTGAATGCAAGTTGAACTGAGATGCAGAAAGGTGAGTGAATTCTACCCAAAAAAAAAAAAAGAGAGAGGGGGGAAAGCCAGATCCTGAACATACCTGCAACCCGCCAACCAAAACCACTGGTTTCAAAGAATCATACATTCCAAAGTAAAGACCACGGTAAACTATGATTCCAACACATGAGATGTTGAATCCACGGTAGAGACCAGCCACGCCATCAGACTTAATGGTTTTCTTGTAAACATCAATCAATCCATTGAACTGCCTCTCACCGCCCTTCTTAGCAGCTTTTGCATCATTAGCCAAGCGAGTTCGAGCATAGTCAAGAGAATAGACAAACAAGAGGGAGGAAGCCCCAGCGGCCCCTCCAGAGGCCAAATTACCAGCAAACCATTTCCAGTACCCATCTCTGTCTTTCTTAAAGTTGAAAAGCCTCTTGAAGTAATCCTTGAAAGCAAAGTTAAGAGCCTAGAATAGACAAAACAAAAAATTAAAAATAGAAAGTAACTTGCACAGAAATAGTATGGTCGAGTCTAGTGATCTCTAAGATCATGAGAGAAACGCATAAAAGCAGTGTTAGCTCATACTTGAAACAAAGGAAAAATACCTGAGTAGGGAAGTATCTGATAACATTAGCAGTGTTCCCTCTCCAAAGAGCCACAACACCTTCATCCTTCATTGTTCGGGCAAAACAATCACCTATTCCCTTGTATGGTTCAGACAATCTACCACTTTTGAGCATTTCATCCTGATTTTGAATAAGCAATTTGACTCGTTCAATTGGAGCAGCAGCAGTCTTAGAGACTGCAGCAGACACTCCTCCCATCAGGAAATCCACCAAAAATGCAGTTGCCCCTTTCTCTGCTGGAGCATGCACAGTAACTGGCTGCATTGGTGGGACAACTGCCATGCCACTGACATTGCATGCCAGCTGCAAAGAAGGCCGTACACCTCCATTTAAGTAACTACCAGTTGTAGGATAACTTCGATGGTGAAAATTGGGGGAAAGCTTGGACACAAAATAAGACTGTCCAGCCATCTTCTGAACTACAGAAGGCTGCCGCGAACCATCAGCCATGATTGCAATTTAGACGGTGACCTGTGAACATTTAATCCTACATCATCACATATTTGATGACAGCACCGGGCCAACTCATTTATTTAATTTAAAAACGTCAGGAAAAAATAAATAAAAGTTTTTCCTCGCTACTGTAATGGTATAATGCATCATTCTTCGTAAAGTTAGAGTTTCTAATTGAATAAAAATGCATACCATAAATGAAAAAATTTCGGAATCCTTACTACCATGACGATATGCATAAACCAGAAGAAATGCAAACATGGCTGAAATTCCCTGCCAGCCCCCTTTTTCTTCAGAAGTGTGACTCACTTAAGTACACAAATATCTTTATAGATGATTTGCTCCATATCTTCAATCTACGTCCGCATAAAAATTACTTTTGACCATGTAGCAATAAGCTAGCCACTACAGAAACATGTCCTTTTAGTAGCACGGCAATCCTAAACACACCACGACCATACAGAACAGAATCCGAAGAACCACCAAATCGAGGGGTAGTCATAAGCCCCAATGAGCTAAACTGAAGTCCCATGTAATTATTTGACTCAGTTTGACTAAGAAGTAAGCAGTCCATATGAGATTATTCAGTGAAGTTAACCTCTCAGACTCGCATCATTGCTCTTGAGAAGAAAAAAAAAATTCACGTACTACTCCACAAATTTCGGGGACTACACTTAAGACCATTTAATTCACAACTAAGCACAGTAAACGATAACATTTTACATTACAAAGAATGAACTTGCTGATCAAGCACGGCCCATAGCTAAAATATACGCTGGGCCATGGAGAGAGAAAAAACAAATTACGGACCTTCAACGGAAAAAAGTAGTAAGAGAAGGTGATCAACAATATAACATGCTCAAATTTCCAAGTAGGCGAAACGAAGGGATGCAGAATCAACCGGACAAAATAAAACCTGAAAAGGTCGCCAACTCCTTCTCGGATCGTGAGGAAGGAGAAGTGCCAGGCGTATAAATGACAGCAGCGGAAGAGACTAGGGTTTTATATAATGACACATTTGCCCTTACCTCCCCTCGAGCATGAAGTCAACGACACCTGTCCTCTTCATTTTGTTCGGTTTGGGTTTTTCCCCCATTTCTTGGGCAGATTATTCTTTACCGATTTTAGAATTCGCACTTGGGCCGAGGAAACGAATAAATAAAACAGGCTTGCGAAGTGCACAAGTCCACGCAGAAAGTTCTTTGAACTGTACGCGAACCAGTTCCATGGTCACTCCACTTTCTTTTTTCATCGCATGTTAGAGGCTTCATGGAATTTGAGAGGAAGTGAAATTCACTGGATCTTATTCTTGGTCAACGTCTCTTGCTTGTACCGCCGATCGTATAATTTTAATTGATGATTAATAAGGCGGTAAAAATTTGATTTTGCCGCTAAAACTAAATGGCAAAAGAATGATGCAACTGAGTCACTTTGTCAATAAAAATGGTTCCGATGTTCGGATTCCGTAACGTTCGAGCACTCGTGCATCGGCCATGGCATGAGCAGCTTAATTCTTAACCTTCTATGTAATCTTGATGTTGGATTTCTGCACCTTGCGATAATGTTACGCGACAGATCTTAAGTAATTCACTCCTCCTTAAGTTAATTTTTCACAATTATTTATTTTTCATGTACGGCATTTCAATCTTTGAAAACATGCTCCTCTACTAGAGAAAGGACGTTGATTTTTCCCCCCGTCTCCTCCTGTGTCTTGAACAGTGAAGGGAACAACATATAATTTGATCAAATTCCATGCAACCTTGTGTATTTGCTCTCCAAACATGTGGGCTTGTTTAGAATAGCAGTAGATATTATCAGAAATAGCGGAAGTTTTATTTTGGCTTTGCTTATTTGAAGCTGATTAATATAAATACTTGTAAACATATTTACATGAGCAAAACAATTCTCATAACATACTTATCTCCTATTATATAAATTCTGATTGAAAAATAAGTCGTGTTTAAAAATGCTTAGGCTTTGTCTAGAACTATATTTGGAATTATTTATAAGCATGTTTTATATAAGTCGAAACAAAATTTTTTTTACATACTTATATTTCTTAAATAATAATTAAAAAATTAACTATAAATTATTCTAAATAGACAGCCAAATTAGCGGCTCCAAAAATAAACGCAGATATTATTGATGCTTTCTCGTGTCTTTACAGAGAGGGGAATATGTGCTGAAACGTGGATTATCGTGGAAGCTTGCAATTGCATTACAGTGGCTGCGATAATGCAATCAGTGGAAGAGGGATCCATGAAATAACAGTGTACGGCCGAGAGTCGTTTGTCGGCATGGCCACCTCGACCTCGAGAAGCCGCTACGCTAACTGTCACTGTCGGCAGTTATTTTCAGTGCCGTGCCTTTTGAAATCTCCCCCGGATCCCGTCTCCGAGCCACCTTCCTCTTGCTTTATTATTACACCGCATCTCCCTCCTGGGACCAGTATCGTCATTAAGCACGCGGACGCAGTCCTTTTCGGTATGTGATTCCAACAATTGCATTTACCATTCTACTCAATGAATTTATGAATTTGATGCCGCCCAGTTCAGAAGGACATACTTGGCTTATTGTGCGTATCTTTTCTTCTGGGTGTGAGTCTTTTACTGGCACTCGTATCCATGAATAATAAAAAGGATGAAGCATTAGGGGGTGTTTAGATATTAGCAGAGATACTTTTTAAAAATATTTTTTTACAAATCAAAACAAATTATTTCATATATTTATTTCATATACAGTAAAATTATATCTAAAATCATGCATCTGTTTAGTATTAAACACAAGCTGATATGTTTACTAGTGCGTAAACAGTGTACACTAATTATATGTATTTGTGAAGAGAATAAGAGAATACTCCTGTATATCCATAGACGAGTTTTTTTTTTTTCCCAATTAGTTTAATTTTGCTGTCATTTCGATCTGCATAATGCTAACAAGAAAGGCACATTCACAAGTCTCCTTCAACGCAGGAAAAGAAGCACGGGAGCCAGCCAGCTAGCAAGACTGCTGTAAGAAAGAGAAAACTTTTCTCCTTGGGAGATTTCAATTTTTTTTCTTTTGATGCGATTCACACTCTTCACCACCTTCCCCGCTATATGTACGAGAAATTGAAAGCAAAGAGACAAAATTGAGGTGTGGAAAAAATGGAGCAGCTTGTGGTCCTCACTGGCTCACTCTTCCTCTACCAGTTTTCCACTTTTTCTCCCATTTATATTCCCTTTCGCCTTGGACTTGCTTTCAATCCCTCCTTCGCATCTCTTTCTCATATGCTTCACCTTCCCTGATTCTGCACTCCCTCTCTCGTTCGTGGATGGATGCTGCAAAAATAGACGGCTTCATGCCAAAAATGGCCAACCAGAAGCCGCCGAAGAGGGAGGCGACGGAGGAATACGCCGGAAAAAATGGCAATGGGAAGAAAGGATCCGGTGCTTCACGGTGCTGCCAAGCGGATAACTGCACCGCCGATCTCAGTGATGAGAAGTACTATCACAGGAGGCACAAGGTGTGTGAGGATCATGCCAAGGCTCAGGCAGTGCTTGTGTGTGGGATACGACAGCGTTTTTGTCAGCAATGTAGCAGGTTTGGGAGGTTCGACTTTTGGGGGCTTTTTCCCCATTTAATTTCTAGGATTGTTTTTCTTTGTCTTCTCTGGTTTTTTTCACTGTTCCTAATTTCGGTTCCTCTACTGGGGAATCACCTCTTATGTATGGATTTTTGTTTTCATTTATATATTCTGCTGATCAAGTTTCATAAAGTAGAATCGCAGAGTTTGAACAAATTTTTATATACGTTAGAAGGCTTGGGATTAAGATCTAAGTGGTATGCTTACTTCACAACTCCCCTTTCTTCTTCTTATCTGATATCCAAATTGGTGATCGAGGAGTTGTGCTTTAGTTTCTTCATTGTGCAAGAGACGTATTATTATATATATATCCGGATAGGTTTTCACTCTTTGCTATTTTGGGATTCAATCTGACTGGACTAATCCATACTATGTTCGACTCTAATTCTGTACCAACTATATATTGAAGTGATATATTCATCTCTTGGAATGTTTTTTTTGCAACTCTCTGGATATTAATATTGTACTTAGCGTATGTTACATATGGTGTGATAATATTCTAGGAAATGGACTGAAGTCATATCTTTATTGCGCTGTCTTGCCGTTTAAATTGTCAGGATTTCGTAGTACATTCATGTATTTCAACCTTAGGCTAATTTGTTTATGCATCTAAACTACATATAGTGCTGCAGGTTTCATGAGTTAGCTGAATTTGATGATGCTAAAAGGAGTTGTCGCCAGCGTTTGGCTGGACACAACGAACGGCGAAGAAAGAACTGCGAGTCCCAGTCGGAAGGCTGGAGCTGCAAAGGGTCAGGCAAGCAGTTGAAGGACAAAACTCGTGAGCAGAGTGATGATAGAGGGAGAATTCAGAACAGCACCCAAGATAATGCTACTTATAAGCATTTCCAGATGAGATAAGATAATCTAATTGCCTGCTGCTTCAAAGCATGCTCTCTCTCTTCTGTCATCCTGTGGATGTGTATGTCCATTTTAACTATTCCTATGTCGCATCTTGAGGTGAAAATATGGATTTAGACCAATGAGTTATTGTAAGAAACTTGGAGACAGACCTAAGTACCTTCTTATATGTATGCTTAACGAGCGCAAAGTAGTTGGTTTGCCTAAATGCATAGCTGGTCATAATACTAAGCTAAGCCAGTCAATATAACATTACAAAAGAATATGGATTGTTTTTCTATTCATGTTTGATATGAAAATGTAAAATGTTTTTGAGTATGGATAACTTCTGTTGCCAAAACTACAATGAGACTGTGAAGAATTGAATACGAATGTGGCCATCTGCTTTATTTTTCTATAGATCCTCGTCAAGTATAAAGCTGGCTATTACTATAAGCCTATAATGCCACCTGGTTCTGGCTTTGTCTGGATATGACAAATGCGAGGAAGGCATTTTTATTGCTGCAGGCGTCTTGGGTGTTTTATAGTTATTTATCGGGAAAATAAATAATGGAAACTCCAGGGAGTCAGGCATGCTTAATTGGAGAATCCTGTTTTGCCTGTTGTGCTGCTGATAAGACGTGCTATGGAAGTCGCAATGATCACAACTTGCCTTGGCACGCTGAAGTGAAAGAAGAGGGTGAAAAACAAAACAAAAGGTAAAAGAAGATGGATACTGGAAGTGATATACTAGTATCAGGTAGATCTTTTAAAGATGTGTTTTGCATTCACACAGACTCGATATTGAGATTTTGTGCATATGCCGTCAAAGCCTCTTCTAACAGGAAAATATCTGTTGGGTAACACTGTTGGATTCCTTGACTCATTATATTGGCCTAAGATTTTATTCTCCTTGGATAAGTGTTCATTGTCAGGTCTCTGGTCTGGTTCGGCGCCAAACATAGGATGTAAAATTTATATTTAAGGTTAATATCACTTTTGGTCATTTAAATTTGGACTCATTTTAGTATTGGATTGGTTCATGAAATTTCAGATCCAGACTTTGATCCCTAAAATCTAGGGCGTTAGCAAACGTTAGTCCCTGGTATTTCTTTTACATCTCAACAAAATTTAACAGTAGCCCTCCACTATTAGGTACTAACATTTGCTAACGGATTACGAGTTTAAAATTTTAGAAACCAATACTAAAATAGACGGGCTCAAATTTAAGGGACTAAAAGTTGTATTGACCTTTGTATTTATAATTTCCATAATTCTCAATGATGCCAAACTGGATGTCCTTAGTAACTTCAATCAACCATATATCCATACAAATTTGAGCTCTTCCTTATTAAAGGCAAAAGGCTAATTCCTTCGCATTTCCACTTATTCATAGAAAACAACAAATCTTTTTTATATCAATGATGAATTGAAGTCGAAAACATTCAATTTCCCTGAATATTAGATAATTATATAAAAAATTATTTTTATAGCATGCAAGCATACTTGTTATGCGCACACATGCATATAGTATATCATGCTTGTAAATATAATTTGCAATTTTTTTAGTATATATTATTTATCGAGCTATAGTTTTCATGAATTACATATATTATATAGTACTTGTAAATGCTTGGTATGAATTTAGGGTTTTTTTTAAATTTTTCATTGGATATTGCGCTAGAATCCGATTGTCTTCACTTCAATCTTTTCATTATTAATTTTTTAACAAAAAGTTAAAATTAATATGTTGAATATTCATAATTGTTTTCACAGTCTAATAACAATTTTCAAGATTATAAATATTGAAAAGTACAAGTTATTCTTTACATAATACTATGATGTGGGAGAAATAAACTTAAAATTATAAAGAAAATTAAGAGATTGACTGAAGTCATAAATAATTTTTATAAGTGGAAGACGATGGGGAAATCTAAATTTATTTTCGCGCCGGCGGTTTGGACTTTGGTCTTCTTTGCGTGGCAAGGGCAAATACGTCATTAAATAAAAACCCTAGTCTCCTTGGAGCTGCCATTTATACGACACTCTCGTTGTTCATTTCCCCCTCCCTTGGCATCTGAGGAGGACGCATTGTGACTCTCGGCGGCCTTTTCAGGTCCTAATCTCCATTGTTGCTTCTAATCCGTTCAATTCTTGTTTCTATGGAAATAAGTTATTTTTTGTTGTGATTATGTCCGTAATTTATTATTTTCTCAACAGATCTGTTTTCTTTTTTATGCATTTTGTCAGTGACCTAACGATGATTTCGCAATGGACGATACTCATTCCATTCATTGAAGTTATCATTCCTTATGTTTACTTTCAAATTGAATTGTCATAGACCAGTCTACTTCATGGCTTGTGTATTTGTGGTTTTTCTTAGCTCAGATCTTTTTCGTCGAGGTGGTAGTGATGAGTTACTTCTCAGTCAAACTTAGTCAAACAATTGCATGCTTCAGTTTGGCTTTTCGGCACTTGTTATTGCCTCGCTCTATACTTTAACAATTATACTAAATCTTTGGATTCTTGGGCTTGGTTTATGTGGTATTGCGGTGCTTCTGAAGCGGAATGTTCCTGTTTTTCCCATCTGTTGATTAAGGGGTTTTTTTTTCTTTTTTCGTGTAGCTAGAAAATGTGGTTATATGACTTTTAAGACTTAATCCGATTAGTTCATGTGAGGGAAAAGGGGGCTGGTGGTGCTAGCCTATTTCACCTTAGCATTACAGCAGATGTAGGAAGAATTTTTCTTTCAAAAAGTTGCAAAGTGTAAAGCGAATGAGCTTGTCATATGCTTTCAACTTATGTATGATGTATGATTAAATATGTGCAGGTCACCGTCTGTATTGCAATCATGGCGGAGGGGTCAAGGCATCCATCAGTAGTTCAGAAGATGGCTGGACAGTCATATCTTGTGTCCAAGCTTTCCCCCAATTTTCACTCCAGAAACTATAGTACAAATGGAAATTACTTCATTGGAGGTGAACAATCTTCTTTGCAGCTGGCAAGCAATGTCAGTGGCATGGCAGTTGTCCCGCCAATGTTGCCCGTTACTGCGCATGCTCCAGCAGAGAAAGGGGCATCTGCATTTCTAGTGGATTTCCTGATGGGAGGAGTATCTGCTGCTGTCTCTAAGACTGCTGCTGCTCCAATTGAACGAGTCAAATTGCTTATTCAAAATCAGGATGAAATGATCAAAAGTGGTCGATTGTCTGAACCATACAAGGGGATAGGTGATTGTTTTGCCCGAACAATGAAGGATGAAGGTGTTGTGGCTCTTTGGAGAGGAAACACTGCTAATGTTATCAGATACTTCCCTACTCAGGTATTTTTCCTTCATTTCAACTTTCAAGTATGAGCTAACTCTGCCATCAGGTGTATTTTTCCTGACCGTCTTAAAGAGCGCTGTATGCAATTGTCATCTTTATCTTTGCTGATGGAAGACATAAAATTGTTCGTTGTTGTTGTGTTTTAAATGGTGTCATGTCTGGGAGAGTCATCGTCTTCCCCTTCAGATTGTTGTCCACTGCCGTCTGATTTAAGCATACTCATGATCTCTTCCAGCTTCTTACCAATACTTTGAATTCAGTGTTGAACACATGAACAAATCTGATGCACGTATGGTGTGCCATTATAGTTTTGGTACTTTCCCTATTCTATTTCTTTGCCATTTATTTTCTAATATTTATTACTAATTGTCTATTCCAGGCTTTGAATTTTGCTTTCAAGGATTATTTCAAGAGGCTTTTCAACTTCAAAAAAGACAGAGATGGATACTGGAAGTGGTTTGCTGGTAATCTGGCCTCTGGTGGGGCTGCTGGTGCTTCCTCCCTCTTGTTTGTTTATTCTCTTGACTATGCTCGAACTCGTTTGGCTAATGATGCGAAAGCTGCAAAGAAGGGTGGTGAGAGGCAGTTCAATGGCTTGATTGATGTTTACAAGAAAACCATTAAGTCTGATGGCATTGCTGGTCTCTACCGTGGATTCAACATCTCATGTGTTGGAATCATAGTGTACCGGGGTCTTTACTTTGGAATGTATGATTCTCTGAAGCCAGTCGTTCTGGTTGGTGGACTACAGGTACGTGCAGAATTTGGAATTATAACCTCATTCTGGAATGTCATATATCCATGAACCATGCTATTCGTATTCTTCTAGTTCTCCTAGTGTTTTATTTACAGGGTTTGGGTATATGACTAGTTAGATTCTTTGGCCAGACATTTTCAAGTGCACTTCTGATTTTTCAGTTATGAGTCTAAGCCTGTCATAATGTAGCTTCTAGTTGTTCTTAAATGATGCAATTCATTATAGGTGCCAAATTATTCAAAATGGGAATAGATTTTGGTGCTTGCCCACAGATGTATTTTTCTTGAAACCTCTCCATTTTCTTTTAAATTAAAAAAAATAGATTTTAATCCTTACTTACACATGCATTGCTCTTGTTAACAGGATAGTTTCCTCGCTAGTTTCTTTCTGGGATGGGGGATTACAATAGGTGCAGGTTTGGCATCTTACCCAATTGACACAGTGCGGAGAAGAATGATGATGACTTCTGGAGAAGCTGTGAAATACAACAGTTCTCTCCATGCCTTCCAGACAATCATCAAGAACGAGGGTGCCAAGTCACTCTTCAAAGGTGCTGGTGCAAACATATTGCGTGCTGTTGCAGGTGCTGGTGTGCTTGCTGGTTATGACAAGCTCCAGCTCATTCTCTTCGGAAAGAAATATGGATCTGGTGGTGGTTAAGACTTGAGACAGAATGATGACGATAATTTCACAAGACGGTTGTGTTTGTTCCTTTTTAATTTAGTACTTTCGGATATACTAAAGATGGTATTTTTGGGCTTCCTAAAATTTGATGTGTTTGATATTTTGATATCTTAGTTTTGCATACTTCTGATTGGGTTTCATCTGGAGTTTCAAACTCTGTATTTTCCACCGTCCTATTGGCAAAAAGTTAAAAATTTCTCTCCCATCCTTCAAAGTTTGTTTGGATTGTGCTTGATCTTGTGAAATAGACAATACTGGCGTCGTCCATCGTGTTCAGTATCCTGAAATTACTCCCCCCCCCCCCCCCAAAAAAAAAAGGGTGTTTAAGGAAATGCTCTACTCGTGGCTGTCCATGTTAATGTGGTTGTTATTCTGGCAAAATTAGGGAGAAATCTCCTTTTAAAATAGCACTCTTTGCTTTCCATCCTAAATGACATGATTTCCTTTTTCTATCCTATTTTCTTTTAGGCCACTCTTGGAATTCCTAGTGAAAATTAGGTTATCACCTTCTTTGGGCTTTCCTGCTGTTATCGTTCCTCTTTTGGAACTGTTCCATTATTGCATGTTTTGGACAGAACGTCGTGGGAATGAGTACTGTGTCTGGAATTGGATAGAGCTACCTTGGTCATTTTCTTTATCAGAGAAGAAATATATTATCACCTGTTAGGATTTTCTAATGTGCAAGATATTGTAAGTTTATTACCAGAAAATGAAAAATGAAGGGAATAGTGTGGATATTCTAGATACTGCATTGTCAGCTACAAACCAATGCCACGAGTAAGAATGAGATCACGGTTCATGCTGCTGCCTATTACAGAAGATGCATGCTGATTTTGAATTCTGCATAAGTATAAAACAATTGGAACTCAATTAAAATCATATCACTGCCCCGCTGGTTACCATCGGACTCGGTTGGGAAACACAGTTAGAAACAGAGGAATGAATGTTAATTTCGAACAGTAATAACATGGAAGAAAGGAACAAGAATAAATTTTATATTTCGAGAAAAACAATAGTGTTCATTTCCTTCTGAAATTATTAATTATGTACAAAACCTATACTCTGGTGCGAGGGAAGAAAATTTCTAACGATGTGCTTTCACCTATCAAAACAGTGTACACCTTGGGTGCCATCAAGTCATTACCGAAATTACCAAGCACCGTCAATTGGTCCCATTGATGTAAACACAATGGAAGTTTCTCTAGGCAGGAGGCAGGGGCCGGCGGCAAGTCGGACACTCCATCTTTATATCCATCCATCTTTGCAAGCAACCAGAGTGGAAGAAATGATCGCAAGGTGTTACCTGAAAGAGTTTGAGGTTTAGACTGATCCCAGTGTGTGAATTATGATTCTAGCAGATCGAACTTATATTCAAATACCATGCATTCATTGGATCGCTGAGAAAAATCAATGGCCGTCATGCAAATAACACAGTCTGAAGCATGACTTCTGTCTTGATCAAACCTCCTATAATAGCTGTATTTCTCGGGTAGGATCTGTAAATCATGACGACCAGTTAAGGGCAAAGAGGGAGCATGCTGAATCATGTTGCAAGTTTGATTCAAAAATAAATCCTAGAGGCAATGCTGCTGAGCTCAGAATCTAAAACGACAAGGATAATGTTATTGTCCATCCTTACCGAAAAAATTCTGCTCATATAAAAACTTCAAATTTAAAATATTTGGATAAAATTAACCCAATTGAACAAGAAGGCAATTATCAGGAAGAAATAGGAGTTAGATCCCCAACCTGGCGAGGAATGAACCAGCGGGATCCAAGGTAGTGCTGAAGCAAAAGAGCCCCGGCTTGAAACCCAACGAATACGACCAAACAAATACACCAATTCTTGTGTGGTTCGATGCGCATGAAATTGTTAGGGCAACCGAAAATATATAATGGGATTGCTAGCCGAGTGATGGTTGTCCCTATGATATAGTGAGGATGCAATGGTTTGCGTGAATCACGAACAACATTGGTGATAATTTGAGGTATCCAAAAGGAGTACATAAGAAGAATGATAGGTCTCAAATAACTATGAAACTCATACATGAGCAGAATGCCACCCAACAGGATCCCATCTGCAAAAGACGACAGACATTTAAGTCAAATTTGAACCACACTTCTTCAAACAAGGAACCCTCCATACCCATTAAAACAGGAAACATATTATATGACCAAGGCAGAGTTATTAACTGATTTTGCGCACTACATAAAGGCTAGAGCACAAAAAACTTGGATCACACATTTGGACGCAGGAATGATTATGTATTATTTGGCTAGGGTATATAAGAGAGATACAGAAAGCATACGGGTGAACTAAGGATTTCACGTATGTTTATGTATTATTTCGCTTGGTTTTGAATCTCTGGAAGGCAGCAATTGATTAAGACCCTTGTAACAGATGCTTCAACTATCCAATTAAGAAGCTCAAGGATTCACTTCTAAGTGGAACAGTTGATCGTTACCTTTGTAACAGTTGATCATTAGTTCATTACTAGTCAATACTTGCTTTAAGCTATCTCATATATGGCATCCTGTATAAAATCTGTCTAAATGAATACTTACAGAAACGACTGTATAAAACTGAAAGCTCCCGTCTCATTGTTTCCCAACCTTCCCCATTGTTGAAAGGCCTACTTGCCTTCCATATGGCAAGGAGATATCTCATCTCAAATATTGAGAAGACCACAAACTTGAAAAAAGCAGCAGTTGCAAAAGCATTGAACAGAGACTCTGCATGGCAGAAAGCAACCAGCTATTCACAATCTTACCTAAAGAAGATAATCGTTCATCAAGCCACATCTTTTGTGACAATGATAATACAAAAAACATGAAAACATTACACTTCTCTATTGCCTCAGGTGAGCGGATGTATGCACAAGTGTTTTGCAGAGGGCTTTATGGATCAAGTATAGTATATCATAAGGTCTAGACTAGAACAGAATTAGTTATCAGGAATAAATTAGTGTTAAAGACATTAAATGGTACTAATACGAGCATATTCATAGTCTCAAGGTCCTGGCCATCCAGGTAAATCTACCAGTGTGTATGAGTTTCAATGATAACATCAATATCTCCTTTCCACGACCATCCGAGTACACAATTGCCCATTTATTGCAACTTGTATGTACAAAGGAAAAGATAAGGGCACAGAAAAATATTTTAGCTAGCCTGCCAATCGACAATTTTATGAATGCAAATGATTTGAATTTTTTCATGCTGCAAAAGATTTCCCCCCTTTATTAATCAATTTACAGACAAACGAGATTAGTATGAGGGAAGACAGAAAGAGAATGCACCAAGTCTGTTGGGCAATCCCAAGAAATTAGAATTTTTAGAACTTATCATATAAAATTACCAACTAGTATCCCAGCAGTCAGATGTAAGAGGCAAAGATAAGCATCCATGATTGCCTGTTGGCCAATCATAAAAATTGAAACCTTGGCAGCTCCCTGCAGAGGTATATGCAAAATTAGATTAGTTTCAATAAATACAATACTAAATCATGAGACAAATGTTGCCATGTAAAACCACCGGAAAGCTAAAATATTCCTCATATTAAGAAATAACAAACGTGAAATATCATTGTGTTTAGATAAATTCTTACAGATTGCGTGTTACTATGCTCCATTTGTCGAATCAATAAGAGAACTTGCAAGAAAGACACCTGATATATGCATATTAAGGAGCTCAAGCAATAATGGAATGGGCACTAACAGTGTCCTCATTTGCAACGATGTTAATGATTGAAGGATACAAAGGTAACCATCAATGTGTAGTTCACTGCCTTGCTATAATAGACCTCAATGTTAACAGAAGTTGCATTTAGTAGTAAAGGTGAGAAGCAGTCCCCATCATCATCAGTTGAGGGACTCTCTGTTAGCCCTTCAAGATGGAAAAGATCCTGATCCCCATCTACAAGAATTTACGATCATAAGGACAAAATAACATTTCATACCAATAAGAAAAATGCAATGAAAGAGATTAAAATTGCAGAAGTACTATGGCCCCACGTTAATATTAGCATCATCAAGTTATTGTACATTACTGATTATCTATTAATAACAAGATAAAACATTTGGCGCTTGCATTACAATGGGGCTGCTCAAAGTATTTTCCTCATCCTATTTCTCTCATCTCTTTTCTGCTACTCAACTCCATAACGCAAACATGAAGGGGAAAATACAGGGTTGACTCTGTATTGTCTATACACATCAAAACATAAAAAAAATCGCAGATCATTTGATCCCCCCATGAATGATGGCCCCGACCAATAGCATGTTATGTCTTCTACAGCAGGTAAAATAGTGGCATCTGTGATCAGTGAAGAATTAGCCACAACTTATGAGTTGAGACTATTATTCTCTTTCAAGATCTATATTGCCATAAACAAAATTTAGATGGAAAGCAGGGGAGAGAGGGGCACTAGCTTAAGGCTAGTTTACAAAGATAATAATTTTAAGGATGGATGGCAAAACCCTAGAAAGATGACCCCTTTTCCAATCCATCCAAAAATACTTACTTTAATTCAAATCCTTTTAGTTACTTGTTAATGCAGGACTAGTAAAGGCTGTCTCATGGCTTGTTTATCAAGACAATATATTCAAGGATCGGTGATCAAAGCACTACAAAGATGACCTGTTTTCCAACTAATCCAAAATACCAATTTAATCCAAACCTTTATAATTGCTTCTTTAAACAGACTAGAGCTTGTCTGCCATTTGAAATCTTATCTATTATTAGTTTACATATTACACCATGCATAAAACAGATGCCACAACCAAAAAGTTGCAAATGCAAATGAAAAACATAAACCATGAAACACCTTAACATTCATCTATACTTCCTCATGTTAAGTCAAATCTGTTTAGAGAATCAGAACACCAGATACGCATACACGGACACTTAAGTTGAACTTTGAAATCTAAAATTGAATGTTAAAGGAGGCAGGTAATTCTGTTAAATAATAATCACTAAATCTTCTACAATATCACTGAATCATAGAAAGAAATCAATTATCCCAATGATCATTGAGGAAAAGAAAAAGAAGAAAGAACAGAAAGTACTCATACGCTGAGAGAGCTCAAGTACCATTTTTTGATGATGACTGTCTTGAAATTTGTGCGGCAATTTCAAAATTGCAACGTTTCTCCACGTCATATATTGAAGCTGTGATCAGCAAATAATAGCAGTTAACTATAACGTCATAAGAAAGTTAAAGAAGAAAGACTATGCACTAAAGTATATTAGTAAGAGGGAATATTACAATGTTTTCTTCTCCACATCTTATCTCGTGAAGATTCTTGGAATACTTGGGATGAGAAGACTCCAAGCTTGCAGAGAAACCAATATATGTAGTAAGTACTCCAGATACTTACTGGAACTATAAAGGTAACAAAAATTTCTTCCCTTCTCATTCGCACAACCATAATGAAGACCTAACACTTGCTGTTCTCAAATGAATTTACAGAAATCTAGATGTCTAGATAATGTCCAAATCCTGTATAAGGATCCCAAATCTTAAAGATAACAAAGCGTTCTAACATTGAAAATTTTGAAAAGGCCACATTATATTCACCAGCTAAAAATACAAGGTAAAGAACTTTGTAAGAGAGCACTCATAGGGTGCAATAGATGTATAATACAGTAAAAACGGTTAAAGATCAAGCAACTATTTGCTTTGATAAGAGAATTTTTTATTAAGAAAGAAAATTACAAATGGGAATCAGTAGACGCCCTCCAAGAAAAAGAGATAGACCAAATAGTTGTACAGAGAGTAAGATTAAGCCAACAAAGCAAAGACCAGCGTAAATGGCAAGTTTATGACGGGAAAAGCATAACATGTCAAAGCAAACATTGGATCCTAATCACACAGCACTTCATAATCTTCGCAGGAAATCTGTTTGTAATGACAAGTCTAAGAAAGAAAGGCACAAATTTCCATCCAAACATATAATCAGAGTTACAGAAATTCCTGAACTCTGGAAAGTATAAATGCCCCTTCATGGGGAAGATATGAATACATAAATTAATTTTTTTTGTCTGAACTGACATTCATAACATAACGATTTTAGAAACCTTTTTCCGACCTAATGCATGACAGTCAAATGTTTCATATACAATTGCAATTATAACTATAAATATATTAAAAACAAGATATATTACCAGATGATATGGATTAGATAAAATATTATCTTCACCCTGATTTAACTCTCCCTCTTTTCCACTGCATTAGGGGAAACATAAAGAAACAGCATTATCAGAACTCAGATATTTAGTTTTACATATCACTGTTTCAATATCATATAGAATTTAAGGACAAAAAAATAAAATTAAAAAGAAAAGCTGTGCCAACACATTATTGGAAAACATATAAAGCCAAACTAGGGCTCAAAGAAAGTTGGGGGAAAAGTGGATATCCATTTTAATATTGGTCAAATATGCTTCCTGTGAAAAGCAAAGCAAGACCTGATTAAACATAACTGAAATTAAATCGGAATGTATTTCAAAATTTTATGCAGTAAGGAACAAAAAAAGAGTGTTTTGATCATGTCTGATCTGCTCAGTTGCAACAAGACAGAGTTAGGAAGTTTTCATAACCGTCCTATAGATGTTGTTGATCTGAGTCTGTTTGACAAGAATACATTAAAATTCCTTTAAAACTGCTGGTAGCTGTTATTGAAATACTACCTTCGGTCCTTATTATAAGACCCCGTTTGACTTTTTATTTGGTCCTAATTATAAGACCCCAATCCATTTTGTCTCTCATATTTATGCATTTTTTTCCAAGATAATCCTTCTGATAATGATAGTTCTAGCCAATATACTTAATTAGCAAGGATATTTTAAGAATGACAACACTTATTTATTACAAATAACTAACTTAACTTACTTCCTTAATCTCCTCAAATAAGTCAACTGGGTCTTATAATTAAGACCGGAGGTAGTATTAAAAATGCCTCTAACTACAGCCAAGCTTTCCTGCATAGCTTACTCTGTCACCCTCCAAAAAAGGGGCTTCCTTAATTAACTGCTTACCATTATTTCCTTTACTGTCCATCAATCAGCTTTATTCTAGACTGATGATCACATGTTCTAACTTTCCAGAGTTCTGACTTCTGAAACCAGGGCTTGAAATTTTGAAATTCATTAAATACTACCTCATCTTCACCACATGCATAAAAGTGTAGTTCATATTTCTTTTCCTTAAATTTCAAATCCTCTTTTAGCCAATAAATTATAGCTTCGTTGTTAAAGGGAAAGCTGTTATTTTAGCATACATCAACCTCTACATAGTCATCTAACTGAACTAATATAAAAAGATTTTTTTCCCCCCAAATCTGACAATAAGTCACTATACAATCTTGAGTTTTGCATCAGAGTGCTAATATCTATGAAAATCACCTGTTGGCAACCATTCGAAGCTGTCTAAATGGCCATATATATACACCTTCTACTCTGATTTGAGCTCCACCGACATTGAACTCAGTGTCAAACACATCATGGAATATAACTACTCCCTGATAAAAAGCAAGAAAATGAGGTAAGTATCTTTGATAAAAGAATTATTAGTATTATACAAACAGTTATAAGGACTTGCCATAACTGAAAGTCAAGAGTTAGGGGGGGAAAATTTAAATCATTTTACCAGAACACTGATTATTCACATATAAACTAGAAGCATGAAATACAGGGATATGCTTGACTCAGCAACAGTGACAGATGCAACAGAATACGATCCCTGATAGCATTGAAACCTTTACAGATCATTATTCTCTCCAGTCTCCATTTTATTAGTAAAGAGACTGATGTCCAAATATGTACAAAAACTCAATGAAACAAATTACTATCCAGCAAACCCTCAAGAATCAATTCACAAACATTTGGAGGAAAGAGAGTCATGCTTCGATCCTGTTGAACACTAAAATAGCCATTTGTACATGGAAAATGCACCAGTACAGTTTGAACTGATGATTCCCAAGAAGACACCAAGTACAGCATGTCATTGTCTACTTAGCGGTAAGCGGCAATTTCTGTTTATAATACATACCAGAAAATATACACACAAATTCTTTCATCAGAAAATAAAAATGCACACAAATACAAATTAATACATAATGACACACATGGATGGAGAGAGGAAAAGGAGAGACAGAAGGTGGAGAAAATCAAAGCTGTACTAGTGCTGCATCCAAATGCCCAATAAAATAATGCACATTAATGGGTACAGGTGTACAGAACTTATCATCATTGAGATTGCAACCATCAGTATAGCACACAAATGCTTCTATCATACATTATGGCATTCCCTCACCCTCCCCATATTACAAAGAGTGAATTTACAGAAACCAACCTAATATTTCTTCTTAGGCCTGAAAAACCAACCTAATATTAAATGCGAATGATGGCATCTCAATGAACAGAAACTATGGTCTAGAAACCTCAAATGATGCAAGTGACATCACAACTTTAAAACCAATCTTGACCAGCATTCAAGTGGAGCAAGATACTAGCAAGGAGAAGATACTTTGCATGATTTAGTATATCACGAGCATGATTTGCATCAAAACTTTACTATTTAATACAATCACTATATCAACTGATATTTCCAACAAATATTCTTTAGACTCGACACTAATCTAGCCCTCCCTTAAGCTGGAAGTGCTTTTATCAGAAGTTGAACCGATTTAAAATAGTGAATATAACAAATAAGAAAATAAATCACAGAAGAGTGCAGAATTCCAGCTGAAATGAAACCAACAATACAGTTTAACATCTCACCTGCACATAATGCACACCATGTATTTTTGTGGGTGTACTAGCTAATTCAATTACAGTATTGCCATTTGTATTTCTGATGTCAGGAAATCTGGAAGAGCCATTGGTGGTATCTAAAAATTTCCATGTTCCTGTAAATGCAGCAAATAAATATCCTCAGATTGTGACAGACTTGCAAACTCAGTCCGCAACACCTTAGCGTAACAAGTGTGCATGTGTGCGTGAAGAATAAACACCCCTTTAAGTGAACAAGATGTCAATGAACTAGATGAAATTCTCTCATTTGTGTCACACACCAGACTCAAACCATAAGGCAAACATAACGCCCCTCCAACCCTGTAATTGTAGTAAAGAATACGAACCTTTGTATGTTCCTGTTATGTTCCATTGTGAAAATGGACCGAGCTCACTCTCCACTTTTCTTGTGATTAGCCACTGAAAGAAGTAAAATCAATAAGATGCAAGCGAATGAGTTGTGATTCACTGGCCTCGTGATTAATAAAATTATCAAATACTTCTACCCTCCAAAAACAATACAAGATAAATACAAAAGATGAATGATGGATAGTTTTCAGTAAATCAGTTCATATATAATAACAGAGCAACTTCTAGATATCTCTTAGCGAATATATTTGATACCGTTTCAGTGCACTTTCAATTCCGCTGAGACTTGTTAATCGTCTCTGGTTCTCTCATCAAAGAAAATATGGTTAACGTGATATGGCTCATCACGTTCTAAACAAATTAAGACCTACCTACCCAATGCAAATCCTGCAGAATCTAATGCAAAAACAATGCAGTGCAGCTCTAAGCCACAATACTCAATTAATTCAGAAGCACGCGCATTGAACTCCTCATTTTTTGCTTCTACCTTCATACCAGGAAAAGAAGTAACAACTAAAGCAACTCCTGCCGCTCGACAGATAAAGGACTAAGTGCAAGAGCTCCATGATAAAACTAGATTACTTTACTCAATAAAAATTCACATTATGCATCTTTAATACCATAATCAAATATCAACACTGCACTTAATTACAAGTTTCAACACTAACCTCATCGCCCCACGACCGAGTCCTCTCCCTTAGCGGTCTCAGACCCGCCACGGGACGAATAAACAACAGGACAGCCCACCACCAAAACGCAACCTGCAATAGAAACCCTAGTCCCCTCCTCTTACTCAACCAGAAACCCAATCTTCTGCCGGTAACCATGTCAAATCTCAAGCATACCATATCTATCAAAATTCAACTGCAATCCCACAGCGCAGTCCTTAGTTGCGGCTTATCACAATGCACCAGAAATGCTAACCCAAAAACTACCATATCATAAAAGAAGGAGAGCGTTTGCTTCAAGAGGAGTCAAAGGAGAGAACCACCAACGCCCAACGACGAGTCACAAGTCCATCAGATACAGAAAGTGAAAGCCTAACGACATAATCACCACCAAATGCAATTTTTCAAGCAAAATAGATTCCTTCACCAGCTTGTTTAGCACCAAATGCCGCCATCGTTGTGCTAATAAAATAATTAAATAAATAGATTATAATTTTGGAGTTTCATGGAGATTTCTTTTCAGGGTTCTCCAGCAGTAGAGAGTTGACGAGTCCCCGTGCTGTGGCTTTGGTAAATGCAGGTCAGACTGTTTGGCCAAAAAAAAAAAGGCAGGTCAGACTGGCTCTCGTTCGGGGGGCGAGTACTAATTCGCCACGCGCCTTACGGAAAGTGTTGTCACGTAGCAATGAAAAACAATTTAGTAGACGCTGGCCCAGTACGTAGATCGCGTGAGATGTCGGAACCATGAAGTTAGGTCGGGATCGGGGCCAGGCCATTGAAGTAAAACTCAGGCGTTAGTTGCAACACAACGTACATCAACTGCGCAATAATTATAATTCTAATTACAAAATTATAAAAGCCAGAGGTAAAAATGGAAAAATAAAGTTTATTGGTTTCAGTTTAAGGAAAAACAACCGGTTCCTTTGTTTCTATTCCAATAGCCTGTTGTAATTTCCTATATGGGAACTTTGTCGTTGTTATGTTAGTCATTTATTATAAAAAAATTTTAGTGATTAATTGCTTTGTGCCTTTTTCCCCCTTTAGAATTTTCTCTTGGAACTATTTTTGCTTCTTATTTCTACATAAAGAAACATTTTTTTCCGAGGTTAATGATATGAGAAGTTCAGAATAGATAATGGTTTTGAATCCATACCTGTGATCTTACGTGCTTTTCCCTTGTTAGCATCAATTAGGAATGAGAATCGAGTGTGGAAAATTTAACTTTTGGTTAGAAGAGGTGATTATATTTAATATTTGATAATATCTCTAATAAAATTATCTCTAGAAGAATACATATGTCATGCATAGCAAAATATATATATATCATAAGAAAAATATGAATGCTTGTATCAATTTCATTAACCTACTAGCGTGCGTTTGGTACAAGGGATTTGGAAGAGAGGGGAGGGAGGGAAAAAGATTTTAATCATTTTTTCTTATTTAGCAACACACAAATTTTAGGAGGGGGAGAAAATTTTAAAATTTTTTTCCTCCCATACCCTCCTCAACCTCCCCTCCAAAATTGGGAGGATTTGGAGGAACAGAGCAATATTTTGTCATGTTATGATTATTATGTTCATATTTATTTTTAATATCCCTATACTACACTAAATCTTTTTCTTCTTGTCTCCAAATGTTGCTCCCTCCTTTGTATGTAAATGTGAAATTTTAAAAGATAAAATGGACAATTCAATAAACAAAGTTTTGAGGATTTAAATTTTGACATATATAATTTTATATGTCAAAATTTAAATTCTCACAGCTTTGTAGCCATAAAGATAAAAATAGATGAAAACAAGATCCCACGTCTAATAAGTTTATTTGTTTGACCAAATATTTCATTCAAAAATGGGATACAGGACAAGTTATTGCTGAACATTACTTCAGTCTTTTTTTCAATAATATTTCACGCTCTAGAGTATATTAGAATTTTAATATAAGTATTGCTTAATAGATTAAATGTTATTTACAATTATATTTTATTAAACATTCTATAAAATTTAAAAAAATAATCTTAAATAAAATAAGGGTAAAATTGTCTATGTCAAAATATTTTTCTCTCTCCTCCCCTTATAAACCAAACAAGATAATATTAAAACTCCCTTCTTTCTCTTTTTTTATAAATCTAAACAAGGTAATATTAAAATCTTTTCACTCTCCTCCTATCCTCTTCCCTTTATTAAAATCCCTCTTATTTTCTTCCTTTCATTGACCCAAACAGATCCTAAGCTTTTGTCACGTTAACTTGTCTTTCTTTGGTTAATTATACGTCTGCGACTCAACGATTGAGATGCTTAAAGATTATCCAATCTGATTAATAATTTTTAATTAGAACGCCGTATGCATGTACTAAAGCTGACGTATCACGTCATGTTATAGTTGACTCATTCCATGTAGCTATTCATTATTTCACATAATATCATTTCAACGCAAGATTGGTTTACATTTCATGCTAAACAAAATTAAGCTTATAATTAAGCCACGAAAGGTAACTCAGGTAAAAAGGTGACAATTTTTTGATCTTTTATCGGCCCAAAATATCTTAGCTAGTCTGAGTCAAAATATCAGGGATAGGCTTGAGATTAAATGCTTAAATGTGAATGTTTGGATCTGAGTACTCGTGCTTCCTCAAAAATGCAAAATTATTTATCTCGTCACGCACTACCTTTTTCTTTTGCTTTTTTTTTTTCCCCTTAATGCATGGTGGTCCAATTTAACATAGCCAAGAGAGACCGTAGTCCGCGGACCGCGAAGCTTCTGAGGATGAGACGCGTGTGTGTGTGTGTGTGATAGTAGACAGCTCTCTTGGAATTTACAGTACAGTTCCGCTTGTCCCCGTCCCATGCTACCCTTTCTTCACGCTCTCTCTGGGCTGAAAAATCAACACACATTACTTGTCTCGTAAAGCATTTACGCCTTAGCATATGATTGTTGGAAATGTGTTTTTAAGAAACTAACACGTATTTGTAACAAATGATTTCTTCTTTTACCTCTTTATCTTTCCAATTGACACTATAAGGAGTTAGATCTAATACAAAATATTCCTTCGGTCTTTAATATAAAACCTATTTAATTAATTTGATTAGATTAAGAAAATTAGGTAAGTTAGTGAATTATAAAAAATATGACATGTTTTTCGTAAAACATTATAATCATCTTTCTTAATACGCCTTTTTCCTCTCCTACCTGATTATGGTTGAGAAAGTGTCCATGAGAGTAATTTAGAGAAAATTGATAAATATGATAAATGAGTCTTATATTTAGGACCAAAACCAACTTAACAATTGGGTCCTATATTAAGAACCGGAGGAGTATCAGTTTTTCATATTCAAAATTGGGATAATTAATCCACAGCTCTTTATAGTTTTAACTAATTTTGAATCAGGTTCTTATAGTTTTTTTTCTTTTTATCAGGTCCTTATACTTTCACATGTTTTTAATTAGGTCCTTGTATTTATTTTTCTTTTTATCAAGTCCTTATAAGTTCACCTTATTTTTAATTAAGTTCCTAAATTTTTTATTCCTTATTTTATAAATTCTAATAGTACTATTATATAAACATAAAATAGTATATATTATTTAATATTAGTTTATAAACAATAATATTCTAAAGATATTGAATTATTATAATGATTTTATTTTTTTCAGCAAAAAAAATTAATTGTTGTAAAAAATTTTCCTGCATTAATTAATTCTATTACTTTTTTATTACATAATCATTAATTTAATTTAATTATTAATATTTTATATTTCAGTATTAATATATTTAATTAAGCTTATATTTAATTAATAAATAAAAATTAAAACTACATGGACCTGATTAAAAATTTAGTGAAATTATAAGGACTTAATTAAAAGAAAAATAAATACAAGGACCTAATTAAAAAAAAGTAAAAGTATAAGGACCTGATAAAAAAACTATAGGGATCTGATTTAAAATTCGTTAAAACTATAAGTACTTGCGGATTAATTAACCCTTCAAAATTTGAGTCTAATGTTTACATCTAATTCTTAACAGTATCTTAATCAAAAATGTCTCCAGAAAAACATCTGTAATCAAAGTGCGGAAAGCAAACTAAAGACTAGGCCCAAAGAAATAAAATGAGATAAGAAAATCAATAGAATGAAAAAACGCCAGCTTCTCTGTTTGGGTCAGCTAGCGACCCAATCGGGCTCGCAAAGCCTGACCATTATGGGCTTATAAAACATGCCTGTAAAGATGCGTGGGATTATTCCCCCGTATATACATTAATACATATACTGCCAGCCGAATTATTCCTACACGTATCCTTAATACAATTGAAAAAAACTCAAAATACCATTTATTTATGTAGTATACCAATTGCCGAAAAATTGATAATAAATTAAATGAATTTAATCTTAATAAAAAGTTGAAAAGATTTTATCTATGTTTTTGGCCAGCAAAAAATTATATTTATTTATGTAGTTAGTCTTTTGTGACATAATTATTTGGCCAGAATAGTAAGTTAACAAAATACACATGAATATCTAATTTTCAATATGAATAATCCCTCAAAATCTTAACTGATATTTTAAGAACCTGATGTTGGTTAAAAAGAGGGGGGAGGGGACGAGATCCTTCCAAGTTCCAACTTCCAACCATATCCAAACCTCCGATCGGGTAACTTTTTTTTTTTTCCTATTTATTTCAAGCATATTTCCTCAACATCTGCAAATTAAGTATCATCAGATTTTGCAATAAATTTCAATACAAACACAAAATAGAGAGTAATAATAATTACAATTCACCTTGATTGGCAATTAGCCGTTTGCTGTTGGCACTTTGCAGAGAGCTTTGTATATATGTCATTGTTTTTTTTTTTTCCTTCTGCCCAAATAAGAAGTAAAGAATATCATTAATTATAATCAGTTTCTACAAAAATGGATTCGCAGTGTGCGTATCCCATTGGCCATTGCCCTGATTCTCAACGCTGCTTTCATAATTTAAGTCCCATTGCTTGTCTTTCACTTTTTTTAAAAAAATACATAATATACAGATAATTTTTAACTGTTAATTTTTTTTGGGACAAAATTTGCAACCGTTACTTTAAAAATCATCGATAATCAAGTTTAAAAATTGTACATGTATGTATCTATCTGTATATCTTCTAAATCTTCTCACTTTCCAATATGAACGTGCATCCTGATCCAGATTCTGTATCACCTGAATTCGGGGATAAACATAAAATATACACAGAATCATAGTTGTGTGTTTAAAAAAAAAAGGAAAAAAAAAAAAGAGATAAGATCATGTAGCGAAGGAACAATAAAGGCTGTTTTGGAAACGCTTAAAAAATGATTTATAATCAATTAATGTCCATTGGATTGAAGAGATGATTCTCAGAATTTGCCAACGTTCATTTTCTCCCTCCATCACTACTATATATATCCATAAATGTCCCTTTCTCCCTACAGTCTCATCTTCTTCTCCAGACATATTAGCTTGATTTCTCTCTTTTTTTCTTTTATCACTACTTAATTTCTGAGTCAGTTTCAGTGCAACATTAATGGCGTCTGA